CCACAAGACAGAGCCCATGCTTGATATCATTAACTGCATCAAGAACCAGTTGCTATGTGATAGTTAATGCCACATTTAAAGTTTAGACTTATGCTTGAGAGACCAAAAAGCAAATATTCCTCTAAAAAGTGGGCCCTAGCTTGTACTGGCTAAAACCTCTAAGCCCACTCCCCTTTATTCCCAGATGTTAAAGGATATTCTTTGAGGGTTTTTTTTGGGGGGGTCCTCTCATACATCTCAACCAGTTTCCCCTTCCTCTACTCTTCCCAGCTCTCTCCAACATCTTCCCTCTCCCCGAGATCTGCTCTTCCTTTGTTTCCCTTCAGAAAAGAGCAGGTCTCACAGAGATACCAACCAAACATGGCATAGCAAGTTAAATATGATTGAGCCAGTAATATTTGCTGTTCTTGCAAGATAATAGGTCATAAGACTACTATTTAGACATATGTTAAAACAAGACCCTGCCCACATATAAGAAGAATGTGTGTATTCTTGTGGTTTTGAACTTTATAATCTCTGGGTTAATATGACTAGGGGATGCATCTTGAAAGTGATCTATCTGTTGCTATCCTGGTGTCATGAATATCAAATGCCAGTATTTTAAAAACCCTCTTCGTATTAAAATTTATTCACAGTCACAGCAAATCTCTAAGTGACCTCCTTTTCAATGAGGAGAGACCACAATCAAAAATTCAGGAAATAAATTAATATAGAACAGACTGAATACAGCCCAAAGTTAAAGTCAATGTTAATTTGTTTCTTTGTCTAATGAGTTATAATTTCTTAACTATATATTTAGTGCTACACACCTCTATTATAGAAATCATTTGTGTAAATAAATCTGTTTTTAACTTAATAATTAACCTCTTCTCTTTTGGGTAACATAACTTTTTAAAAGAACAAGTGAATTTACAGATGCCCATGACCAGGTGACTTCAGTACCAACTATGGAAAGAATGGCAACTCTACTGAGTATTTCAAAAGCAGGAGGGGAAAGCACATTTCTAAACTTACTCTGAGCTCTGTATTCCCCTGAAATCAAAACCAGATAATGTTACCACAAGGAAAACCAACACACCTTATCAATCTACACACAAAGGTATATAAATTACTAACAAAGTTTGGCAACACGTAGGACGTGTTCTCCATGACAGATGAATTGATTCTGGGAATGCATAAACATCAATAAATGTAAGGTGCCATAATTATATAACACAGGAGTGGCTGGACTGTTTATACTACTTAAGAAGACACTGTCTAACTCCCACACTGTTACTAAAGTTCTGTGACAATCAAATTGCAGAAGGCAAGGGCATCCAGGTAAGAAAGAGAAAAAGGAGGGAGGGAGGGAGGGAGGGAGGGAGGGAGGTAGAAACCCACTTTTGATTCAGATGACAAAAATTTATATAGGATATAGAGAATATCCTATGGAATCCATTAAAAGGCATGTCTAATAAACAATCTCAAAAAGACTGCAGAATATATAAAACCAACATACACAAATCAACTTTGTTTCAATTGCATTTCAATTCAGTAGTGAGGAATAAATTGAAGATAAATGTCAGTTACCATAACATCAGAAAAAATTACTTATTTGAGCAACAGTGGAAAGGCTACCATAAATGCCCTTCCCTGATAATGAGATTAACGACTAACTTATCCACCATCATGGAGCCCTCATCTAGTATCTGTTAGAAACAGAAGCAAACACCCACAACTAAACACTGAGCTGAACTAGAATCAAGATGCAGAGAGAGAGGACAAGACCAGGCTACAGAGACAGCAGACCTGAACGAGGAGCTAACGGGTCCCCAGACTGATAGCTGGGAATCCAGCATGGGACTGACTCAGACCGGCTGAACATGGGTCTCAGCTAGAAGGACTGAGCAGTCTAAGGGACCTCAGACAGTGGAACCAGGATACATTCCTGGAGCACAAAAGGACCTTGCGGGCACATCCCCATGGAGGGATAACTCAATTAACATGAGACAGGAAAGAAGTCCTAGTCCCTACTTCAAATAACTTGACAGATTTACATGACCCCACCTGGATGGCATTGCCCTACATGTGGAGTGGGGGGGGGATAGGAGGGGAGGGTGGTCGGGGTGCATGTGAGGGGGGAGACAGGGAAAGAGGGAGGGAGGAAGGGAGGGAGAGAGGGAGAGGGAACTGGGATCGATATGTAAAGTAAATAAATAAATAAATAAGTTAAAAAAAAAGATGTGTAAAGCTTTCACTTTGAAAACTTTAATGGCACATTTCTGTAATCCCAGCATTCAGGGGGCAGAGGCTAGAGGATTGGTTCAAGTCTGCCCAAATTCAGTCGTGAGCTCTGAGCCACATACACAGCAAGATTGTCTCAAGAAAACAAAACAACACCTACAAAACACTGCAGAATCAATTATAGGAGACTTGAAAGGGAAAGGCATATGATGGCCTTAAGACTTATATTATGGTCACAATACCCACTCAAATTATCTATAGAATTGAAGTATTACCTACCAAAATCCAAATAGGATCATTTATGGGAACTGAAAATAGCATGGCAAAGTGGTGCATGCCTTTAAGTCTAGCATCAGGGAGGCAGAGACAAGTGAGTTTGAAGCCGCCTGATATACATGATGAGTTTTAGGTTAGTCAGGACTATATGGCAAGAATCTGCTTACAAAAAGAAAAGAAAGAAAAGAAACTGACAAACTGAAATTCATACAGAATTTCAAGAGACTGAAACATGTCTTTGGAATAGGCAATAAATTCTTAAGTCTGATAACAAAAACATAAATGATACAAGAAAAAAATACATTCTGTATGGGTCCTAAAGGAATATTAAAAATAGTATAAATGTATCTATGTATACACACACACACACACACACACACACACACACATATATATATATATATATATATATATTCTTCAAAATTATTAAGTGTTTTAATTTAAAAGATGCTAACAGAATAGACAGGACTAGAAAAGTGTATGTCCTAAATCTTGATGATCTATGTTCAATCCTTAGAACCCACAATAGAAAAAAACTGATTCATGTAAACTGTCCTCTAACCTCCATACACGTACCTTGGCACATGTGCCTCCCTGCTCTGATAAAACATACAATGAACAAATAAATATGAAAGGTTAAAGGCAATCTACATAGTAGGAGAAGACCTTTGACAATTACATATTTAAATAAAAGAATATATCTAGAACACAGAAAGAACTATTGCAACTCAATAATAAAAAAGCAAATGTTGTACTATAAAATGATCAAAGGAAAGAAAACAAACAAAAATGGAAAAGAATGAGAAAAGGCACCAGTGTGGTGACCCACACCTATAATCCCAGCACTCTGGAGGCTAAAGCAGGTCATGGTGACATTGAGAAGTCAGCCTGAGGTACCTCATGAGTCTAAGCAAACCAGGGCAATACAGGGAGACCCTGTCTCAGGACCAATAATGAAAAAAGGGCTGGGAATGTAGCTCAGTTGGTAGAGTACTTGCATAGCACACAAGAAGACCTGGATTTGATTCTCTTGACCACATAATCCAGACATGGTGGCACATGCGTGTAATCCTAGCACTTGGGAGGTAGAGGCAGTAAGATCAGAAGTTCAAGATCATCTTTAGCTACATAACAGATCTAAGGCCAGTCAGAGATACATTAAGATTCATCTCTCACACACAAAAAGAACAAAAGGTCTGAATATTTTTTACAAAGAAAATATAGAGGTGGCCAGTAAGTGTGAAAATTGCAAATATCTAGTTACCATGGCAATGCATATCAATATCACAATTCAATGTTATCTCATATCCTTTAGTATGGCCAAAAATAAAAATAAAGCTAATAAACACTAAGAAATATGTGGAGAAAATGGAATCCTCACATATCTTTTGCTTTTCTCCCTCCCTCCCCTCCCTTCCTCCCTCCCTCCTTCCCTCCCGAGACACCAACTCACTGTGTGTCCCAGGCTAGTCTCAAATTTATACTTTTCCTAAACCCTAACCTTGACCTCCAATGTGTACTATACCAAGCCTGTTTTGGTGTTTGCTTTTGTCTGGGGTTTTAGTTTTTGAGTAAAGCCAGCTTGGAACTCTTGCTCTGCCTCCACCATGAGCAACCTTGTTTATGCTAAGCTGTTTATTAACAGCCTTCCAAATACACACTGAACTCTGAGAGCAATATCCAGATGGGTCTTGTTCATTACATGTATATTTGAGATATTTAGTCAATGACCATTCCTCTAACTCTGTGTTGTTTTCATTGTTAGAGTTCTCAATGTTCTATCTTAAGAGACTTATAGCCGGGCAATGGTTGCCCGGCTTTAATTCCAGCACTTGGGAGGCAGAGACACGTGGCTGGCTCTCTGTCAGTTCAATGCCAGCCTGGGCTACAGAGCAAGCTCCAGTACAGGCTCCAAAGCTACACAGAGAAACCCTATCTTGAAAGGGGGGGGGATTTGTGAACCCAAATTCTTTCAGCATATTTATAATCCTAACATTTTATCATCTATACATTTGATATACACACCTTACGAATGCCCCCCAAGTCATTAATAAGGTTGAAAATGGTAATCTTGCCAATGACCTATGAAGACACCCACACTTCTGCTACGCCCACATATCAATACATCGAAGAGTCAAAACACAACATTGCCCAGCTTTCATTTTCAGGGTATACAGGAACTTCTACCTCTATGAAGCCTTTCCTTACTTGGCACCACCTCAACTCAAGCAGAAATGAATTATTCATCTATCTTTCTTACAATTGTACCTTCCCTCACTTCACCGCACTGTATTATAGTAATTTGTTAACAATTCTGCCTCTGTAATAAGGCCAAGCTCTCTTAGAGAATAGAGATTTCTTTAAGTTCCTTAAAGACTAGCACGACTACCAAAATTTTGTTAGCACTAAAAAATCCAAACATGCCTTGCAATTCAAAAGCAACAGCTCCTATTTTCACAGTGTTAGCACATGAAGTCTAAAGATGTTTTAAATACACTTACCTGTAGCAAAAAGCAAACTGCATAGCTCAATAGAGAAGGATGGTGAACTAAATTTAAGCTGTTTTTATACTCTGTTACTTCAGTATTTTCTAATTTTTGGGGATCAATGTATACTCCTTTTTCAAATGGTGTGGACATCCATAAGCAATGAACCATAACTGTCAAATAGTAATTAAATTCTTGACAGATCTTGCTGCTGAGATTGAAGTCTGATTTTTCCTAATGGCAAAGAAATAAAATAGTCATTAACAGCTATTATTCTTTTCCTTTTTATTCTTAACAGGTCCCATATATCTATACTTTGTTATTTATAAAAATGGTGATTTAACACAGATTTTGCATTCATACCTTCTTTAAAAAGTTGTCTTTCTTTGCAGCTGTCAAATTATTGCGATACCTGAGAATAAAAGCATATATAATAAAGCATGTAAAATGTCATTGGATGTAATGCTTCTGAGTGTAACATAAAAAATTTAAAATATACATTTTAGGGCTACAGAGATGTTTCCATTGGTAAAATCCCTGCTACAGAAGCGCAAGTTCCTGACATTGGATTTTAACACCCATGCAAAAACCATGTTTGGTTGCATGTATCCCTAATCCTAGCAACAAATGTAAAAAACATGTTTGGCTGTACGAATCCCTAATCCTAGCAACAAATGTAAAGAGCATGTTTGGGTGCACGTATCCCTAACCCTAGCAACAAATGTAAAAACCATGTTTGGTTGTATGTATCCCTAATCCTAGAAAAAAAAATGTAAAAAGCATGTTTGGTTACATGTATCCCTAACCCTCCCAGGAGTAAACAGACATAGGCAGGTCTCTGGAGCTGTGCAGCTAGCTACTGTAGGCAGTCAGTGAGTGAGCTCTTAGTAAGAAGAGACTGGTAAGAAGACCAGTCTCAATATAAAGCACAAAGCAATAGTGACACTGACCTCTACAAGAATATTAATGAAAGTGCACCCACACAATCATGCATACACACACAAGTACATTGTAATGTAAATAAATGCAAATGTGCACAAATACAAATACCTAATTATCTAGTTGAGGAGTTTACACTTGAATGGCACATTTTCCACAAAGAATTTTTACAGTTAGGGTTTATAGGTAGGGTTTATAGGTAGAGGCCCTGAACTCAATCCTGAGTACTATAATAAAATAAAGAAAAAGAGGCTCAAATCTATACCAAGATAGATCAATGGGGAAAGTGCTTGCCATGAAGTCTGACCACCTGAGTTTGATCCCCAGACCCCATATAAAAGTATAAGGGGAGAACGGACTATACATGTTGTTCTCTGACCTCCACATACACACTATGGCACTTGCTCATCCACACACATACATACATACATACACAATACTGATACACTTTTAAAGATTGAATTAGACATTTCAGGTGTGCTCTTAGTGCAAATATAACTCAATTGAAAGAAAGCAAACCATGAAATACATTTCATTATTAAAGCAAGCAATCAATCACTGATACAGAATACATTTCCTTTATGTAAAACAAGGTACAGCAGGCCAATGAGATAACTGAGCAGGCAAAAACTCAACATCAAGTTTGATGAGATAACCTTGATGCCTGGATCCCACATGATGGAAGGAGAGAACAGACTCAGAAGTTTTCCTATGACTCTGAATGTAACACACACACACACACACACACCAACACCAACAACAACAACAAAAAGAACCAAAATAAATGTAACAAAGTTAAAAGGTACAGCTGAACAATGAAATCCAGAAATGTAATTTTTTCTTATCTGAGAACTATCATCTAATAATTTCCACATATTTTAACATTGAAAAATCTCTACAAATTATACTTATGGATTAAAAATAATTTCAGTTCACAAGTAAAAGAGCAAAAGGTGAGAAATAATGCTTAGAAGATCACATAACTGGCAATAAATAGTTTCTATTGCCTCCCAGAAAATGTCCCTTTTACCAGAGAAACTATATACACTTCAACAGATATCAACAAATGATTAATTTTTCTTTAACACACAGAAATTTTAATTAACAAAGCTGAGGGCAGCAATGTCATTACATAACAAACCAATCCTCAGCAAAGACTTTTAATTCCATATGCCCTACAGGGGGGATTTAAAAATAGCACAGCACCAGTTTTAGTATTTTAAGGTACTGCCATAATGCAGCTTGAAATGACTTTTAAAGTAAAATATGCCAGACTCAGAAAGATAAATACCATGTTTTCTCTCATTTGTGGAGCCAATCTTTTGTATAGACAGAAAACATCAGTTATATATACATACATATGATATGAAAGCAGAAGCAAGACTGGAGGAAGGAAGTGGGCCCTTAGCAGGAAAGGTGGGAAGGGAGCAAATGAAGTCAAAGAACACAACACACTGCAATGGATGTGGCTTTAGAAAAACCAGCATTATGGACAATGTGGATACTACAATAAAAATTGTAAATAAACTGGGTGGTGGTAGTACATTCCTTCAATCCCAGCACTTGGGAGGTAGAGGCAGGTGGATCTCTGTGAGTTTGAGGTCATCCAAGTCTGCAGAGTGAGTCCCAAAGCAACCAGAACTACACGGAGAAACCCTGTCTCAAAACAAAAATAAACAATAAAACAATAAAAATAATAACAGCTATTAGAGCTTCATATTAGACAGTCATTAACCAAAAAGCCATTTTTCCTATTTTGATAGACCTGTTAGAAAATTGATAGGAATTTTAATTTTATTATAGTTAAATGATAAAGATAGAATTATGATGGAATAATTCATAAAATGATTTAAAGGGAGAGGGGGGCTTGTACCTGTATATAATGTAACAAAGTTGGTTCAAGATACTGGCATCCAGGCTTAGGAGTGCAGAATGGAAGATCACAGGAGAAAACAACACCAATAATGGAAGATCATAATTTATATATATGTCACACACCTTTTGGAAAGAATGTTAATATCAATATATAAATTATTTTCCATAATTCAATGAAGTTTACTAAAATCATCAATATAAGTTAAACAATAATATATCATTGCATTTGAACCTGTCTAATTTCTAATTAAAAAGGATAACTATAATTTTGTTTAAACTACAACTCATCAAACATCAATCTTAACTCAGAAAATTATTTCTATAAGGTTTATTAAAATATTTCATTTAGGTAGGCCTGGTGGTGAGTGCCTTTAATCCCTGCACTCAGGAGGCAGAAACAGGAAATTCTCTTTGAGTTCAAGGCCAGCCAAGGATACACAGTGAGATCCTCTCCCAAAAGTAGTATTAATATTAGTATTAGTATTAGTATTGATTGGGCTGGGGAGATGGCTCATAGTTAAGAGCACTTGTTTGTTCTTCCAGAGGACTCAGTACCCATATGATGGCTCACAACAATCTGAAATTCCGGTTCCAGGGTATCCAATGCCCTCTTCTGATCTCTGTCGCACCAAGAACGCTTGTGGTACACAAACATGCACAGAGACAAAGCACCCATACAAATAAAATAAAAGTAAATAAATCTTTAAAAATTCTTATTTCATCTTAGAACTGAAAAAAACATGTTACAGTAAGGGAACATTTCTTTCTCCTGAAGTCTCCCAAATATTCATTTACGATAATCAGTTAACTGGCAACCTGGAAAACAAAGGAGCATTCCTTTAAACAAATGCATAATATAGGTTGGAGATAAGTGCCAATAGGCAGAATGTCTAGCACAAACAAGGCCCTGGTTTGAAACCCCATTCTTGGTATTGCTTTGGAGCCTGTCCTGGAACTAGCTCTGTAGACCAGGCTGGCCTCAAACTCAGAGATCCTCCTGCCTCTGCCTCCTGAGTGCTGGGATTAAAGGCATGTGCCAACAGCATCTAGCAATACAAGCCTTTAAATCCCAGAACTCCAAGAGAGGATCAGAGGATCCTCGGTGTACTGGCTAGTTTTATGCCAACTTGATATAAGCTAGAACCACTTGGGAATAGGAAACCTCAATTGAGAAAAGGGCCCCACCAGACTGGACTATAGACAACCCTATGGTGCATGTTCTTGATTAATAACTGATGTGGATGATGCCACCTCTGGGCTGGGGGGTCATGAATACCATAAAATAATCAGGCTGAGCAAGTCATAAGGAACAAGCCAGTAAGCAGCACCCCTCTATGGCCTCCTGCCTCCAGATTACTGCCTTAAATTCCCTTCATGGTGGACTGTGACTGGGAAATATAAACTGAAATATAAACCATTTGCTCCCTAAGTTGGTTTGCTCATGATGTTTTATCACAGCAATGGAAATCCTAACTAAAACACTTGGGTACACATCAAACTGTGGTCACCTTAGGCTACATGAGAATTATAGCAAAACAAACAAAACATCAATTAGGTATTAGTGAATGAAGACAGACAACTTGGGGAAGGAAGACTATAATGGGTATTTTGTGGTGGTGACAGTTTTACCCATGTAAAATCTTATAAAACAGTAAAAGGACTAGAATTATAAAGGTATTAGGTACCAGGAAAAAATTAAGCACTTGAGAGCCAGGAGTAAAAATCTGAAAAAGCAATATAACCTTTTTTTTGGGGGGGGTCTGCCAGGGGATAGGGATAAACAATAGATCAACAACAAAAACAAGAAATGATGCTACATCTACCTAGAGACCAGTTTTTTAATAGGTCAGTAAATTATAAAATTGTATCTGAACTAAAAATCAACCACATTTTCTTCTACAGTTGTTCTATAAAAGTCACTTACTCAGCACTTCCGCCAGCCCTTGGCTAGAGGTGAGTCTGTGCCCAATTCGGGCAGCCTCTCCCCTACACCCTCCCCAGGGAACTCCCTGGATTGGCCCCGGATCTTCCTGTTCCTGAGTCCTGTCCCCTGTGCCCTCCCCCTACCCTGTGCCCTACCCTGCCCACTGTCCCACTGCTCTGGTTGAGCACTGGGATAGAGGGTGGAGCCAGCAGTCCACACAACTTTGGGGAACTTCTCGGAGCATCTCTGAACAGAGGAGACCTACCTATCTACCGTGACCTCCCGTAATTTCCACCTGCTTGGTCTCTGACCCCCACCACAGGTCCTCTACTGGAGTCTTGGGCCCCTCCCAGAGATCCGCCTATCTCTGTAGGACCACTCTAAGTTCCTGCCACTAGGATCATTGACCCCCCACAGCAGTGCCTCTGCTAAAGAAGCCTCAGCTGGAGAGTACCAGCCCCAGGCTAGATCTGCCTAAAGGCACAAGGAACATCCAGAGTCCAGGCCTTTAGAATATTTGACCCCCATCACCAGTCTTCTACTGGAGCCTGATCGCTGACCCCATCCCCTGGCCCTTGCCTGTGGAGAGACCTCCTAGAGAGCTTGGACCACCCAGAGCTACAGATATCCAACCTCTGACCCACATAAGCCCACCAGGGAAGTACCATAGAGAGAGGGAGAGACCCCACCAATACCTACTGGAAGAAGCTATGGGAAGACAGCAATACAAGAAAACACCTAACAACAGAAAGACAAGCATGATACCACCAGAATCTAGGGCATCTACACCAACTAGAATGGAACACAACAACAAAGCAGAGGAAGCAGAAAGGAACGACTTAAAAATTACCATCATAAAAATGATAGAGGCCCTCAAAGAAGATGTGAGAAAATCCCTTAAAGAAATGGAAGAAAAAAAAAGTAGAAGAAATGAACAAATTTCTTAAGGAAAGTAAAGAAAGCGAAGAAAGACAAGAAAAAACAATTAAGCAGGTGAAGGAAACGGTTCAAGACTTGAAAACTGAAATAGAGAAAATAAAGGCAACACAAACCAAAGGAATGCTGGAAATAGAAAAACTGGGCAAAAGATAGGGAACTACAGACACAAGCATAACCAACAGAATTCAAGAGATGGAAGAGAGAATCTCAGGCGCAGAAGATAAACTAGAAGAAATAGATTCATCGACCAAAGAAAATCATAAATCCAACAAATCCTTAACACAAAACATCCAGGAAATGTGGGACACCATGAAAAGGCCAAACCTAAGAATAATAGGCATAGAGGAAGGTGAGGAAGCCCAGCTCAAAGGGGCCAAAAACATATTCAACAAAATCATCGAGGAAAACTTTCCAAATCTGAAGAAGGACATGCCCATGAAAGTACAAGAAGCATACCAAACCCCAAATAGGCTGGACCAAAGAAAAAAGACCCCTCGACATATAATAATCAAAACACCTAGCATACAGAATAAAGAAAGAATATTAAGAGCAGCGAAGGAAAAAGGACAGGTAACATATAAAGGCAGACCTATCAAAATTATACCTGACTTCTTCATGGAAACCCTCAAGGCCAGAAGGTACTAAGAGACCACGGATGCCAGCCCAGGCTACTATACTCAGCAAAATTCTCAATCACTATATGTGGAGAAAACAAGATATTTAATGACTAAACCATATTTTCCCAATACATATCTGCAAATCCAGCCCTACAAAACATATTGGAAGGAAAACTCCATCCAACCCAAGGAAGTTAAATATGCCCACAAAAATGTAGGCAACAGATAATCTAACTACACCAGAAACCAAGGGCAAAGCAGGACAAATATATTCACAATACCACTGCCAACAACAAATCTAAATAAAACAAACAAGCAACAAACAATCATACTGCATATAAGAAACACATCTAAGCTTCAAAGATAGACATTACCTCAGGGTAAAGGGTTGGGAAAAGATCTTCGAATCAAATGGAATCAAGAAGCAAGCAGGTGTGGCTATCCTAATATCTAACAAGTTAGATTTCAAACCAAAATTAACCAAAAGAGATGAAGACAGTCATTTCGTATTCATCGCAGGAGAAATCCATCAACACAAAGTCTCAGTTCTGAACATCTATGCCCCAAATACAAAGGCACCCACATTCGTAAAAGAAACGCTACTAAAACTCAAAGCTCACATAAAACCTCACACACTTATAGTGGGAGACTTCTTGACACACCACTCTCAACACTAGACAAGACCACCAATCAGAAACTCAACATAGAAACAAAATAACTAACAGAAGTTATGCCTCAACTAGGTTTAACAGACATCTATATAACATTCCATCCAAAGACAAAAGAATATACCTTCTTCACTGCTCCACATGGAACCTTCTCTAAAATCGACCACATACTTGGTGACATAACAAACCTCAACAAATACAAGAGAATTGGAATAGTCCCTTGTATCTTATCAGACCACCATGGTTTAAAATTGGAATTCAACAACACAAATTGCAGAAAACCTGCAAACTCATGGAAACTGAACAATGTGCAATTGCACCACACCTGGGTCAAAGAAGAAATAAAGAAAGAAATTAAGGACTTTCTAATATTCAACTAGAATGAGGACACAACATACCCAAACTTATGGGACACCTTGAAAGCAGTGCTACGAGGGAAGTTCATTGCACTAAGTGCCCATATGAAGAAAACAGAGGATAGTCACATAAGAGAATTAACAGCCCAACTGAAAACCTTAGAACAGAGAGAAGCGAATTCACCCCTTAGGAGTAGAAGCCAGGAAATAATCAACTTGAGGGCTGAAATCAACAAAATAGAAACCAGGAAAACAATACAAAAAAAAAATCAATGCAACAAAGAGTTGGTTTTTTGAGAAAATCAACAAGATAGACAAACCTTTATCCAAATTAATGAAAAAGCAGAGAGAGAACATGCAAATAAACAAAATCAGAAAAGAAAAGGGGAACATAACAACAGACAGATAGGAAATCCAGACAATTTTCAGGTCATACTTTGAATTTCTGCATTCCACAAAAATTGAAAATTCAAAGGAAATGGACAAGTTTCTGGATAACTATCACCAAAATTAAATCAAGAACAGACAAACAACTTAAATAGACCTATAACCCGCAATGAAATAGAAGCAGTCATCGAAAGCCTTCCAACCAGTAATGTTGGTACCCTAGCATCACAAAGACACAACTAAGAAAGAAAACTACAGACCAATATCCCTGATGAACATCGATGCAAAAATACTCAATAAAATACTGGCAAACCGAATTCAATAATACATCAGTGAAATCATCCACCACAGGGATGGTTTGGCATATGAAATCCTATCAACGGGATCCACCATATAAACAAACTGAAAAAGAAAAATCATATGATCATCTCCCCAGATGCTGAAAAAGCCTTCGACAAAATTCAACACCCTTTCATGATGAAGGTCTTGGAGAGATCAGGGATAACAGGAACATACCTAAACATAATAAGAGCAATATACAGCAAACCAACTGCCAACATCAAACTGAATGGAGAGAAACTTAAGCCAATTCCTCTAAAATCAGGAACAAGACAAGGCTGCCCTCTCTCTACATACCTCTTCAATATCGAACTTGAAGTTCTTGCTAAAGCTATAAGACAACAAAAGGAGATCAAGGGGATCCAAATTGGAAAGGAAGAAGTCAAACTGTCTCTATTTGCAGATGATATGATAGTTTACATAAGCGACCCAATAAACTCTACCAGGGAACTCCTACAGCTGATAAACACCTTCAGCAAACTAGCAGGATACAAGATAAACTCAAAAAAATCAGTAGCCCTATTTTTTTCAGATGACAAAGAGACAGAGAAAGAAATCAACATAAAGTATCTTGGTGTAACACTTACCAAACAAGTAAAAGACCTATATAATAAGAACTTTGTGGCTCTAAAGAAAGAAATTAAAGAAGATACCAGAAAATGGAAAGATCTCCCATGCTCTTGGATAGGTAGGATAAACATAGTAAAAATGGCAATCTTGCCAAAAGCGATCTACAGATTCAATGCAATCCCCATTAAAATCCCACCACAATTCTTCACTGACCTTGAAAGGATAATAATCAACTTTATATGGAAAAACAAAACACCCAGGATAGCCAAAACAACCCTATACAATAAAAGAACTTCAGTAGGCATCACCATTCCTGACTTGAAGCTCTACTACAGAGCTATAGTTCTGAAAACAGCCTAGTATTGGCACAAAAATAGACAGGAAGACCAATGGAATCGAATTGAAAATCCTGATATTAAGCCACACACCTATGAACACCTGATTTTCGACAAAACAGCTAAAATCATACAATGGGGCGAAGACAGCATCTTCAACAAATGGTGCTGGCACAATTGGGTGATGGTGAGAAGAAGACTGCAGATAGCCCCATGTCTGTTGCCATGTACAAAACTCAAGTCCAAATGGATCAAAGACCTCAACATAAATCCAGCCCCACTGAACCTCTTAGAAGAGAAAGTAGGAGGTACCCTTGAACAAATTGGTATAGGAGACCGCTTCCTTAACATAACTCCAGGGACACAGACACTGAGAGCAACAGTTAATAAATGGAACCTCTTCAAACTTAGAAGCATCTGTAAGGCAAAGGACACAGTTGATAAGACCAAACAGCAGCCCACAGACTGGGAAAAGATTTTCACCAATCCTACATATGACAAAGGGCTGATCTGCAAAATATAGAAAGAACTCAAAAACCTAGTCAACAAAACACCAAACAACCCTATTAAAAAAATGGGGTACAGAACTGAAGAAAGAATTCTCAATACAGGAAATCAAAAAGGCTGAAAGACACTTAAGAACATGCTCAGCCAGTCTAAGAGACCTCAGACAGTGGAGCCAGGATGTATCCCTGGTGCACAAAAGGACTTTGCAAACATATCCCCCATGGAGGGATAACTGCCTTATTCTAGAGATAGGAGAGAAGCCCTAGTCCCTACTTCACAGGACCTGTCAGATCTACATGACCCCAACTGGATGGCATTCCCCTACATATTGTATTGTGGTGGGGGGTTGGGGGGGGGAGGGTGTTTAGAGTACATGGGAGAGGGTAGAGAGGGCAAAAGGGAGGGAAGGAGGGAGGGAGGGCTTGGGGGGAGGGAGGGAGGGAGGGAGAGGGAACTGGGATCGACATGTAAAATAATAAAAAAAAAAAAAAAAACGCTTTGACTCCAAAATTTAAGTTGAAGAACAAGTTACTGGGGAAAAGGATTTCTATTTTTGTTTCCACAGAAAATGAAAAGATGTGGATTCCTTCCAGACTAATGTGGTTTGATCACACCAGACCGCCTGAAACAGAGTACAAGCTGATCCTACATTCCAAACAGCTGGACAAAACAGCCCTACAGACTACAGCTAGGATATCTGAATCTTCTTCGAATCCCCCAAGACAGCGCCCCTTACCAGCAGGAAGTAGTTTGGAAAGAACGACGCCCAAATTCCCAAATATTGTGTATAAATGTTTGTTTTCATTTAATTGGACTTTGTTATATAAAATTAAATAAAAAATACTCTATATGCATAAAAAAAAAGAACATGCTCAGCATCCTTAGCTATCAGGGAAATGCAAATCAAAACAACTTTAAGATACCATCTTACTCCTGCCATAATGGCTAAAATTAGAAACACCAATGACAACTCATACTGGAGAGGATGTGGAGAAAGGGGAACACTCCTCCACTGCTTGTGGGAGTGCAAACTCTTACAGCCATTTTAGAAATCAGTATGGCGGTTCCTCAGGAAAATGGGAGTTTACCACAGGACTCGGCAGTCCCCCTCTTAGGCATATACAAAATGATCCACATCCATGCAACAAAGACATCTGTTCAACTATATTCATAGCAGCATTATTTGTAATAGCAAGAACCTGAAAGCCACCTAGATGCCCCTCAATTGAAGAATGGATAAAGAAGATGTGGCACATCTACACAATTGAATACTACTCAGCAGAAAAAAATAATGGAATCGTGAAATTCACAGGCAAGTGGATGGAACTTGAATAAACCATCCTGAATGTGGTAACCCTGTCACAAAAAGAGGCACATGGTATGTACTCGCTCATATATGGATTTTAGACCTACAGCAAAGGATCACCAGCCTATAATTCACACCACTAGAGAAACTAGGAAACAAGGTGTATTCTAAGAGATTCACATAAAGTCCCTCACAGAAGGGGGAAGGGACAAGTCCCCCAGAGCATAGGGTTTGAAATGGGGGGGGGCAATGAATGGAGAGAGAAGTAGGAGAAAGAGAAGGGAAGAGAGGGAAACACCTACGACCAGGAAGATTGAGTCAGGGTAGGAATAGAAGACAGGAGGGAGGGAGGGAGGGAGGGAGGAAGGGAGGAAGGGAGGGAGGGAGGGAGAGGGGGGGGGAGAGAGAGAGAACACAAAAGAGGGATGCAAAATTGAGCATCTTCGGAAAGGCTACCATAAATGCCCTTCCCGGATAGTGAGATCAACAACTAACTTATCCATGGAGCACTCATCTAATACCTCTTGGAAACAGAAGCAAACACCCATACCTAAACACTGAGTCGAGCTAGAACCCAGATTCAGATGGAGAGGACAAGACCAGGTTGCAGAAACACATAGAGACATCTGACATGAACAAGGAGGAGCTGAGGGGCCCCCAGACTGATAGCTGGGAAGCCAGCATGGGACTACTGACTCAGGCTCCCCTGAATATGGGTCTCAGCCAGAAGGAATGGGCAGTCTAAGGGACCTCAGACAGTGGAACCGGGATGTATTCTTGGTGCACAAAAGGACCTTGCGAACACATCCCCCATGGAGGGATAACTGCCTTAACCTAGAGACAGGAGAGAAGTCCTAGTCCCTACTTCAAATGACCTGTCAGATCTACATGACCCCACCTGGATGGCATTGCCCTACATGTGGAATTGGGGTGAGGGGATGGGAGGGGAGGGTGGTCAGGGTGCATGTGAGGGGGCAGAGAGGGTAAAACGGAGGGAGGGAAGGAGGGATCGGGAACTGGGATCGATGTGTAAAATAATAAATTAAATAAAAAAGTAAGTCAGTTACTCAGTTGAAAATAAACTATTAATTTCAAAACATGGTTATTTTAACTACCTAGTAAAATCATAACTCACCTTCACAATTATACTTGAAATTTAAATCATAGGCCAATAAAGTGACTGCCTATCATAAATTTGTGGTTTTGACTTGTATACTACCTTCTCATAGAAGTCCAAAATAAAGTGCAACAATAATGTACTATTGTTCTCCAAGCGTATCGCAATCATGGACAGCCAGCCTACATAGTCAATCAATTGAAACACAGAGTTCATGGATCCACCCAAAGTTGTCTCCCTGTAATAAGAAATTACAATACTCAGATACACACCAGCAAAAGTGTTCAGTTTCCAAGGTAAAGGTTGGTAATACAAAGCAATAAGTAGATACGGAATTAAAAATCTATCAGTTCTCCAATGTACAATTCACTTTCTTTTTAAAAATAAAAGCAGTGATTAACCATAGTATTGTGGTTAGTCCATCAGGTTAGTCCATCAACATAGATGTCCCTTAACCAAAGAAAATGTGATTCATACACAATGGAGTATTACTCAGATATTAAAAATAATGGCATGATGAAATTCAAAGGCAAATGGACAGAAATAAAAGTATTATCCAGAGTGAGGTAACCCAGACCCAGAAAGATACACATGGTATGCACTCACTTCTAAGTGTTCATTAGCTGTTAAGTAAAGGATAATCACGCTACAATCCACAGACCCACAGAAGCTAAGTAATAAGGATGGCTCAAGGGGGCATACATGGATTTTCCTGACAGAGGGAAATAGAGCAGACTTTGTGGGTTAACTGGGTTTGTATGGGGATGGGAACAGGAGGAATCTAGGGGAGAGGCAGAGAATACTGGAAGAGGCACCTGGAATTGGGGGACATTTGGGGTGACATAGAAACCTAGTGCAGTGGAAATGCCCTGTAATCTAGTAGTGAAATCTCCAACTAATGGGGGATATGGAGCCCGAACTGGCCCCCTGCTATAACCAGGAAAGGCTCCTACTAAGAACAGGATTGGGGCATCAACCCAGCCACAAAACCTGCAACCTACCATCTGTCCTGCCTGTAAGATATACTGGGGCTGTAGTGGCATAGATCTTGAGGGCATGTCCAACCCATCACTGGTCCAACTTGAGGCCTGTGACACAAGAAGGAGCCCATGCCAGATACTGCCTGGATGGCCAAGAACCAGAGGCCAGAAAGCCCAGAGACCCAGGATAGAACAAACATGACTGCAAAAAATGGAAATGATTCCTAATAATATTCTGGTATACTTGTGGATTGCTGTCTAGCCCAATTGTCATGAGAGGGGTGTTATCCAGCAACCAATGGGAGCAAATGCAGAGACCCACATCCAAACACTAGGTGAAGACAGGGGAATCCTGCAGAAGAGGAAGGATGATAGGATGAGACTAGAAAACCATGAGAATAAGGCCCACAGAAACTGAAGCAACAAACACAGATCCTATATGGGTCTGAACTAGGTCGTCTCATATACCTTATGGTTGTATAGCTGGAAGTTCTTGTGGGACTCCCAACAATGGGAGTGGGAGGGGTGTCTAACTCTTTTGCCTGTGCCTGGGACTCTTACTTCATTCAACTGGGTTGTCACATCCAGCTATGATATGAGGGTTTGTGCCCAACCGCATTGTATCTTGTTAGGCCATGTTCAGTGGATATCCCTAGGAGGCCTGTTCTCTTTTAGGAGGAGTTGATTTGGATGAAAAGGGGCATGTAGGAAGGGACTGGGAGGAGTAGAGGGAGGAATAACTGCAGTCAGGATGAGAGAAGAATAAAAAATAAAAATAAATTAAAAAGCACAGTGATTACTCTTAGTCTTTTATTTTTATTTTTTATTTTTTGAGATAGGGCCCATATTACCATGTAGCTCTGACTGTCCTGGAACTTACTACTACATAGCCTTGAACTCAGCAATCTTGTCTTCTATGAACCATTAAGATAAAATCATAGAGCCAGGTGGTGGTGGTACACACCTTTAATCCCAGAACTTGGGAGGCAGAAGCAAGTGGATCTCTGAGTTTGAGGCCACCCTGGTCTACCGAGAGAGTTCCAGAACAGGTTCCAAAACTACACAGAGAAACCCTGTCTCGAAAACAGCAACAGCAACAACAACAACAGACCTCATAGACAGCCCATGTGGTGTCCTGGCGGTTAGGAGGCAGAGGCAGGCAGATTTCTGTAAGTTTGAGGACAGCCTGGTCAACAGAGTGAGTGCCTGGACAGCCAGGGCTATTATATAAAGAAATCTTGCCTCAAAAAACAAAACAAAACAACAAACAAACAAAAATCAAAACAAATGTAAAAAAGTATCAACTCATAGAACATTTTCAGCAATCAGATTCTATTAGTAAATTTGAGAAGAAAAGGAAAAGGATTAAACAAATTCAGGATAATGTTACAATACTGAAAAACAATTGCAGTCAATATATTTGTCTCTAGTAATTGATTAGTACTGAATTCTAACACTCCTCAATTATGTAAATCCCTTACTGAAAAATAAACAAAAATCATTAGTAATGAGTGTTCAATAACAATTCAGAGAAACGGAGTTCATGACAAAGTGACACAAAATATTCAGAAAAATTAAAAATGAACAAAATGATAAGTAGAAAAATGATGCTAAGGGTCATTTTCTATGCATCAGTAACATGACAGCACACTGAAACCCATAGTGTAGGAATCAATATCTGGTTCTGCCTATTCCTCAGTAAGGTATTTTCACCAGAACTCAATCTAATCTGAAAACTGAATTAGCAGAATGTCAGCATATTTCAATCTTCTAGTTAAAACCATATGCAGGGTTTGGAGAGATTGCCCAGCAGTTAAGACTACTTGTTGCTCTTGCAGAGGACACAGAGTTCAATTCCCAGCAGCAGCAACATGGTAACTCACAACTATCTGTATCTCCTGAAGGATATGATACCCTCTTTTGGTAACCATGTTCTACATAGACATAAATGCAAGTAAAACACCCATACACATATAAAATCTGGATTGTATTCTCTTCTAAATCAATAATATAATCCCTTTAAATGACACAATATATAAAGTGAGTAGTTCAAGACATCCATTTATCTCACTTATCTTTCAATCCACAGTTAAAGATTCAGAAAAGATCTATAAATTTGAACTCATAGTTTTACCCTCCTATCTATGTAGGTAGTTAACAACAGTTCTGCGTTGAAAAATGAATAATGTCTAATAATGTACAGTCTGTGATAATATACAGTTTCAGGGTTTAAGAGATGATGACTCTCAAATATTCACTACCATGATGGTTCAATGACAGAAGCAAGGAAATATTAGAGACCATTTAACAAACCACACTGTTTACTTGCAAAACTGAAATAGTGTACTGGAGACTTGGCAGGATGGGCTGGAGAGATGGCTCAGCCTTTAAAGGCTAGCCTCACAACCAAAAATATAAGAGCCTTGGCAGGATTTCACAAATGTGTCACAAATAATTGCAAATGATAATGACTGCTCTCAGCAACCTTTTCTTTTTAATGTTGAGCTGGACGTACTATTGTATGTTAGGCAAGCACCCTGCCACTGAATCACACCTTCAGCCCCAGAACAGACTTCTTGGTGAGTGTTTCTTTGTAAATCAATGACATTCTAAAGAAAACAATCCATAGTTCAAAGAACCTTATATGCCTACCTCCACTCCCTGCAGTACATTCAGCATTCCCAGATGCCACCTCTTAAATGATAACAACACCCTTCTTTTAAATCATTGTCACAGCCAGAAATGTCCCTGGAAATGATAGTGAGATGGTCTTCTACCCTTGTCCTCTTACGATCTATCACTTCAGTTTACTTTCTTCTAGTCACTTACATGGCAAATTGTCATATAATAGAAATACAACATTATACTAATTTTTCCAAAATGAATTACTGAAAACGTATAAGCTATATTGAACTTTTGCGTATTTGTTTTATTAATTGTTGTGCATACACGTATGCACAGGCATACAGGTCACAATGCACATGTGAGGTCAGAAGAAAATACTTAGAAGTCTATTCTCTCACGCAATCTTGTGGGATCTTTGATTTGAACTCAAATTGTAAGACCTATACTCAAGCACCTGCTAAGCACTGGCACACAGACAATACTATTTAATTCCAAATGGTATGCCTATTTATCTGCTTAAAGGGGCTTAAAAAGCACTGTTCCTTTTTAGATGGTCTCCCTAAAATTATGGAAAAGATCTGAGCAAAGGATTTAGCTCAGTGATAGAACACCTGCTTAGCATATATGAGGCCTGTGTTTCATTCCCACTATCACACAAAAGAAAAAAGAGAAGGAGAGTTTGTAGAAGGACACTACAGAAATTGTAAGGTATTTATTTCAAGGGTGTCTGAGATACACTGTGAGTTGGCCAAAGGTTAAACAAACAAACACCCTTTTCTAGTAGTATTTTTTTTTTTTACAATAGTGGTTCATTAACTAAAGATTGTACTAGAATTGTAGGAGCATCAAAACAAATTACTGACTCACCTGAAGGGATAAACTCAGTAGATCAAGAGCAGGGCCTAACACTTTCAATGTCTGAGAAGTTCCCAAGTGGTACTGACATTACTATATACTTCTTTGAGAATTAAAGCTTTATAAGATTTCTTCACTAGACAATCATGGTGGTGCACGCCTTTAATCCCAGCACTAAGGAGGCAGAGGCAGGCAGACCTCTGTGAGTTTGAGGCCAGTCTCATCTACAAAGCGTGTACCAGGCCAGCCAAGGCTACACTGTAAGACACTATCTTTAAAAACAGATGTCTTCACTACCCACTAATGTTCCATGTTCCATTTGGTTCTAAAAGTGGTCATAAGCATATAGAGAAATACTATAATAATGAATAGGAAAAATTAAAAAACAATTTTTCCAGGCTACCCTACGTATAACTCTCTAATCTCCTACCTAAACTATAACTCACTCTAAGGATAAAAAGGAAAACAAAGCTGAGCTAAAAGTTTGGACTTTGGTTAAATTTACAATTTGGGAGAGTTGGGTATGTAGCTCAGTTGGTACAATGCTTCCCCAGCATGAATAAGCACTGGAACTGATTCTTAACAGCACACAAACTAAATACAGTGGTCTACCCCTATAATCCTAGCACTTAGAAGGCACTTTAGAGAGATCAATAGTTCAAAGCCAGACTCAGCTACACAATAAGTTTGAGGGCCACTTGGGATACATGAGACCCTGTCTCAAAAAATAAAATAAAATAAAGTAAAATAAAATGAAAATGATATATGTTGGGTTGGAGAGATGGCTAAAAGTATAAAGCATTTATCATGTATGCCTAACAATCTGAATTCAATCCTCAGAACCCATGTACAGTGGAAGGAGTAAATCAACTCCACACATTGCCCTCTGACACTCCCTCACACACTGTGGCATGCATGTGTACACATGGGCATACATACATAAACACAGAGATTAATAATAGATATTACAAAATTTTAATGCTGTTAACTTTAGGTATCATAACAGCGGCATTTTAACAGCTGACATGGTATCTGGGTTTCACTAAAGGATAATCTAAAAAAAATAATAATTTAAGGAGAAAAGTAAATAGTGAAAGGCAGTTTGGAGCTAGAGAAATGGTTCAGCAGTTAAGAAAATGCACTGTTCTTCCAGGAATCCTAAATTTGGTTCCCAGTGGGTGGTTCAAAATCATCAGTAAACTTCAGCTCTAGGGTATCCAACACCTTTGGCCTCCAAGGGCACCTAGACTCATATATATATATATACATGCATACTCACACACTTATTAAAAAATGAAAGTTCTTAAAAAGAAAAGCCAATAAATTGAGTTGATAAATGTTGAAACTGGATGATTGGTAAAGAAGTATAGTGTGGTTAATCTTGATGCTTAGCTTGATAGGATCCAGAGTCTGCATAGAAACAAACCTCTAGATATGTCTGTGAGAGATTTTCTAGATTAGCTTAACTGAGGTGCAGGAAGGCTCACCCTAAATGTAGATGGCATTTATGGTTGGGGTCCTGAGCACAAGAATTCCTTGTTCTCTGTTTCCTGAATACAGACAAACTATGACCAGCTGCCTCATGCTCCAGAAACCACGCCTTCCCAGCCATGAAGGACTACATACTCCACTGTGAGCCCAAAACAAAGCAAAACAAACAACAACAACAACAACAAAAACCCTTCCTTCCTTAAGTTGCTATTGTTAGGTTTTTTGTTGTTGTAACAAGAAAAGTAATATACTAGGGGTTTGTAACAGTGTGTGTGTGTGTGTGTGTGTGTGTGTGTGTGTGTGTGTGTGCGCGCGCGCGCGCGCGCGCACGCATGCACGTATGTGTGTATTTCTATCTTTGGAACTTATTATCTATTTATAATTTTAAAAGTGTTTATTCATTCCTTGGGAATTTTATACAATGTATTTTGAACATATTCACCATCTCACCTTAACTCCTATATCCCTTTGCCCCTCAACCTTATACCTTCCTTTTAAATTTTTTCATTCATTTATATTTTATTTATGACTTCTCTGCTTGTATACCTGCACGCTACAAATGGACATCAGATCTCATTATGGATGGTTGTGAGCCACCATGTGGTTGCTGGAAATTGAACTCAGGACCTCTGGAAGAGCAGCCAGTGCTCTAAACCACTGAGCCATCACTCCAGCCCCACCGCTTAATTTAATAAGCCATCAACTCCAATTTGTGCTATCCATATACTTCTGGAAGTAGGGTCATTCACTGGGGCATGGTCAGCCTACCAGGGCCATACTCTTAAAGTAGCTGTACTGTCCTTAGCTACTCAGGGGTGGAGGCACCATGTGAGCATATTGACTGGCTTGCTCTTATGCAAGCAACCATGGCTGCTATGAATTCATGAGTGCAGTGATTCTATCATGTTCAGAAGACACTGCTAATTCCAGTCCACCCAGACCTCTAACTCTTACAGTCTTTCCACCCCTCTTCCGCGATGGTCTCTCGTATCTCTGCTTTTGATTATGCTTACAACAGTCTATAATATAAACTTTCTAAAGCACTAAAGAATCATGTGGCTGACAGGATAAAAGAGAATCCAAACAGACAAAAGAATCAAAATAACCTGATTATGCAGTTCCTTGAAATATAGTCTTTCACTTTGAGGGTAAAGCATGTATTTAATGGAAATTTGAATTAATTTTTAACTCCAAAGCCAAGATAAATGCATGTAACCAAAATACATCCCATGAACAAAACCCACCATTAAAATAGCCTCAACATATAAAAAAAAAGGTATTATATAACGTGAATTAAAGTAAATGGAAGTCAAAAGCTGCATTGTAATTTCAGCTTTCCAGCCCTTTTTGCTATATTACCTAGTGCCAAGTCATTAAAAGGGTTTTTTTTTTTTTTTTGGTTTATCTAAATAGTAACTTGGAAAACTTACTTTTCTTTCAGGATTGTGGGAATGAAATGTGAAGAATAAAACATTTCCAGAAAAGTTCTACTGTTTACATGAAAAAATTAAGTCTCATGCCATAATACTAGATTCCATATGCAAACATTTTTATATAGATCATCTCTTTGGAACACCACAGGATAACTTACTGAGGACTGTTTGTCACCCATTGCTCTTGGGCATCCATAGAAAGCCACAATAGCCAATTCTGCAGTAGTTCTTTCAGACTTTGTAGAACACTACACTGAGGGGGGAAACAAAACAAAACAAAATCATCCAAAGCAAACAGTATTTAGACCTAACAGAGGCTAGAAATGGAAGAGACCCTGGAGATGGCCATATCCCACTTAGAACTCAAATAGTTGCTATTCTAATATGTACAGTCTACAAAGAACAGATGAATACACAGATTTATGTTACCATTTTTTTCTAGAAGAAACATACCTCAACAAGACTTCCAGCTTAACCCAGCAACAGAGTTTTCTCTAAATCACACTCCTTTATACTACATATTACATCATCAAATAAACCATCACCCTTGGCCATGCATGATGGCACAAATCTATAATGCTGGCACTTAGGAAGTAGAATTAGGGAGATAAGGAATTCAAAACTGGTGTTATCTACATATCAAATTTGATGCCAGCCTGGGCTACATAAGACTCTATCTCAGAAACAAAATCATCCTTATTGTACCCTCAGAGATCATCTGAAGTTGCTACAAGTAAGAGTTCTCTACCCCTTTTACTTTGTGTTTTTTTAATACAAGCTACTTCATTTTTGATGCTTTCAAAAATGAATCGTCTGTAACTCTGGGAAACAAACATTTCTAATCTTATCTTCTCAGACTATACCCTGCCTTTCCAGGGCCTCATTCACAATTCCTTAACTATATTCACTGAGTCTCATTTGAGCCTGAAAGTTAGATACCATTCTATATTCCTTGATTCATTTTCCATTCCCTTTTCTCCTTTACTCCCTCCTTATTCCCATCCCCCACTCACAAACACAAATAGATTTATGGACAAATGAATGTGCACATGCATAGTAGTTAAAAAATAAACAACTGCTAGTTATCAACCACCCTGACCTACAAAAATGACAACTGCCTACAATTCAACTGAACATTCATAGCTAAATGGCTCTTTAGATTGGTGTAATGAGTGAAGAAATTAAAAAGAACTCAGCAAGAAGATTAGGAGAGAATTGCAAAAAAAAAATCTGTTTCAAAATAGTCTCTGAAATTTTATTAGCTACTATAACTGGGATTGCTATTTGAATGACAGTAGTTATAAGTACTAAGTTACAAGTAATATGAAATTAGCAAATTCAAGTTAATGGGATAGGCAATAAAGTGATATGCAACAAATTATGAGAAATACTAACCAGAACAACCTATTTTTCCTATAAATGCAGCCAATATTGAGCCATTTAAGGTATAAAACATTTGTAAAAGGAATATTCTACCACCATTGCTCTCAAAGAGGAATGAGGATTTGATAGGAAGGTAGCTCAAGGGGCTTTGATGGCTTTGGTAGCTACTGCACTCTGAATGGCTGTGCAGAAGTGTGAGAGCATAGCATTGTGGCTCACATCACAATCCTAGTGCCTGGAAAGCTGAGGCAAGAACACAGATGCAAGTGAAAGGTCATCCTGACTTCCTCAGAAAGCTGGGCTACATAGATAGGCCCTGTTCTAGCTTCAAATCCCCACATCTCCAAAACCCTCAAAAATGGAAATTAGAATATTTATGACATAAATATGTTCAAATATCTGACAATGCATTATGATCAAACTACCCTTACATTCTAAGCGACTGGAACTTTGGCTGAACCTCACAGTACGAGTTACTAACACACATTGGGGTCACTTAAAACTTAAAAGACTGCTAGCCAACCGTGTATCCTGCCTCTTTGTTTATAACCTGCGTATATCCTGCCTCTTTGTTTATCCTGCCTTTATGAGAACAATGTAACAATCAACCTTACTTGCCTTGGATTTCCTATGTCAGCTGATTTTACAACCTAAACTAGTGCATAGCTGTAACCTTATGTACTTTTCCATGCCCCCAACCCCTGTGGACCCAGAACAATGTATGTAGGGTTTTTTTTTGGGGGGGGGGCTTTTGGGTTTTTGCTGAAAGCAGCAAATACAGAGAAGAATAGCCACCATAAATGCTGTATACAACACTTATGGATATTGGTTGACAAACAAACACACACACACACACACACACACACACACTAAATGTTACAAAATTTCAAAAGAGAAGAAAATCACTAGCAGAACTCCACTTTGGAATTATTTAACACCTCAGTTAACAGAAGTATGATTTTCATGAGTAAGATATATTTAGTTTTTTTGGTTTTTGGATTTTTACCTTGAAATAAATGGTTGATGTAAAGAAGAGAGGGGCTAGATGATCAAAAAAGAGTGGCTTCACCTCTAGGAAATAGAAAACAAGAGTATTCAAATGAGAATGTCCCCATAAGCTCAGGCATTTGAAAACTTGGTCCCCAGTTGGTGGCACTGTTCAAGTAGGCTTAGGAATCTTGGCCTTGCTGAAAAGTATTCACTGGAGGTGGGCTTTAAGGTTTCAAAGCCTAGCATCTTTCCCAGTCCATTCTCTGCTTCACACTTGTGGTTTAAGATGCCCTTAGATTCCCCATGCCACCTCCATGCTTTTGCTCTACTGTCATGGATTCTAATGCCCTGGAACCAAAATAAACTCTTTCTAAGTTTTTTCACAGCAAAAGAAAAGTAACTATTGTGTTTTCGTGATACATACCAGAGAAGCTACTGAATGGAATCCAGGATAGAAGCTGAAGGAACTGTGACCGGCAGGAGAAGCCATCCCAGAGAGGCAGGCTCTTATACAGAAATGCTTCACAGGAGTAAAACCCCTCCTGAAACACAAGGTGATTGTAAAATTTCATGTAGAACCATGAATATTCTTAGCTGGGTAGTAGAGGTGCATGCCTTTAATCCCAATATTCAGGAGGCAGAGGGAGGAAGATCTCTGAGTTCAAGGCCAGCCTGGTTCCAGGACAGTAGGGCTACAAAGAGAAATCCTGTCTTAAAAACAAGCAAGCAAACAAACAAAAATATTTTCTGAGAGTTTGATGTCATCCTGGTTTACAAAGTAAGTTCTAGAACAGCTAGGCTGTTACATAGAGAAATTCTGTCCTGAATATACAAAAACAAAAGCCCAAAACATCTGGCAGTTGTGGCACACGTCTTTAATCCCAGCACTTGGGTGGCAGAGACATGAAGATCTCTGAATTCAAGGACAACACGGTCTGTAGACATGCCAAGGTCTACACAGAGAAATCCTGTCCCAAACTAAAAATCATAAATATTTTCTAACAACCACTTTATTTTGTACTACAGTTGTTTCAGATGCATGAGAGTATCTAGACAGTGCGAACACATGAATTCCAGCTTCAGTTGCAACTCGGAGATACCCAGGACAAATAATTCAGATGCTAAGATATATCTCACATTCCAAAACATTTGTAGCTATTAAGAACGTATGTCATGAACTGGACCTGGAGTTCAGTCAGAGTGCTTGTGTAATTCCAGAACCACCTAAACTGAATGTGGTCACACACACCTGCAATCCCAGCATCCAAGGGGTGGAGACAGGAGTTCAGAGTAATTTTCAGCTACATACTAACTTTAAAGTTAGCCTGGACTAATGAGACCCTGTCAAAGGATTAATTAATTAAAAAGAACACAAGTCATGGGCTGAGGATGTGGATCAATGATATGTAAATGTTCACCTAGCATGCATAAGGCTCTGGGTTTGATTGCTAGCCTTAGCCCTAACATTCCCCCCAAAAGAACACAAGTAGTAACACTATAAGATTATAATCCTGACTAATTCAATTAATTGAATGCATTAAATCACATGTTTTCTTAAAATGAGAGCACTTTCCATTCTTTTTAAAAATTTAAACTTATTCTTTCTTCAAACATAATAGTGCAAAAATGAACATCAGTCCAACTTGGCTCTATGAATTTCAAATGGAATAAATAGTATTTTTTGAAAAAGCCAAAAATAAGGAAAATAAATAAGTAAAAATAAAAATCAATGGCATCAGGTACTAGGGCTCAGTTGGAAGACTGATTGCATAGTATGCACAAGGACCTTAGTTTAATTTGGCAATATTGCAAAATTTCGGGTGTGGTGGTAGATATCTCTAACACATGAAATCCCATCTGTACTGCTGTAAATGTTAGGTACTAAAGAAAATACTACAATGGACAGCCAAACAAATCTTAAGAATGATGGAAGTTACAGGAAACAAATGGAATCTTACTTGTAAGAAGCACTGCACCCTGATGACAATGTCCAGGAAGTTGGTAAATTCTTTTTCTTGTTCATAATTATTTATGTTATACCATATGCATTCTAGAGCAGAAATATTAAAAATAAGCAACTGGTTATGCAATAATAAAAACAATATAAAATATATCACTAATCTGAAGTGGCAAAGAAATGATAGATTAAAAAAGTGGTAAGATTCGAATATCCTGACTAAGTGACATTGTAGATTATAGCAGGGATTTGGAAGTGACAGTCAGCAAACATGACAACATAGGGGAAAGCTTATTATAGTAAAAAAATACTGGAAAGGTTCACTTACAATGAATGAGATTAGCTTCAAGTCACAGTAATCCAAGTGACTATAAATACACAGCTAAAACTAGGTAGGGTGAGTTGAGTATAAGCTATAAGTGGTGAGAACATACAAAGTGAAAATCTAATTAATTGTATCACATAGCCCATAAAGAAAAACTCTAAGTCAAAGGAGCAATAGCCTATAGTGACTAAAACTCACTTCAAAGATTTGAGTAGTCAGGAATTACATATCCAAGAAATAAATTATCCTGATAGTCAAAATTACTAGGGAAAATGGCACTGTGGGTGAATGAAGTGCTCTGGGTTTACAATGGACTGCATGAAAGTCTCCCCACTCTCACTTCCTTTAATTCTATAATTAAGAAAATTTCTAATGACCAGTGTGTCATTAGAGGAGGTAGTGTACTTGGCACACATGAGCATTTCTGTCACCAGAAAGAATCACTTCTACTCTAAAATAATAAGTTGTTATTATGTTTTATAAATTGATTTTCTCTGAGTTGGCTTAATATTAATGATTCTTGCATGTTCTCAGGAATACAAAGAACTCTGAGATTGAGACCAGCCATCTGGCAAGTTTTGATGACCTTTTCAGCAGTGTTAACCTAACACCACTCCTTTTTGATTGTCTTAAAATGATAACACCAGAAGTATTCATATTCAAGATATATAATTGCCAGATAATTATAGCATACGAAGGCTCCTCTGATCTAGAATTTCTAATCTAGAATAAAATCTATTGACAAACTATCTTCTTCCACTCTCGTTTATCCAGTGCTTTACAACATCAATTCTTACCTTCTTGTAATGTTTGATTCAGCCAATAATAGAGCCTCAGTAAGATTGACTCATCTCTGACACAATTAATGTAGTGAAGTAGCAGAGAGCTGTTCAGTACTGAGATCATCTGAGAAGGCAGCTGTAAAGATGGAACAATCAATCAAAAATAAGTATATGAAATGTAGGTCACAGCCATAAGTAAAACATTACCTAGGAAACATACAAAAGTAGAGGATCTGGGGCCTAAGATAAGGCTCAGTGTAGAGTATTTCCATAGCATGTGTGAGGCTGAGTTCAATCTCAAATACTAAAAAAAGAGGGAGAGGCTATCCAGACCAAACAGGAAATGAAATTGGAGTCAGAACTACTCTGGTCACATACCTCTAAGCAATGAATGTTTTGCAAAAGTTGAGGGAAACTTTGAAGCTGTTCTAGTGGAAGTGATCTTTCATTGCTGAGAAAATCAGAAAGACTCTTCTTTCCCCCACATTCTATGTTAGCAGAATTTGGTGCTGGTATAACTGAGTGAGAACTCCATTTCTAAAGGAGAAAGATAACACAATAAAAAGACAATCTAAACAAATAAAAGCAAGTCAGATGTGGTGGTTCACTCTTTAAATCCCAGCACTCAGAGACAGTCTACATAGCAAGTTTTGGGCCATCTGAGGCTACATTTTAGAAGATACAATCCCAAAAATAAATAAATAAAATCAGTTGTTAAGATGTTTCACTTAATTGGAATCTGAATGTGGTTTGCACAGAATACTAGGTTATCAAAATCTATTTAAATACCTATGATCACCACCATCTGAATTGTTACTATTTTTAAAGCCACAAGTCCTTTGTTGCTTTAGATTACTTACTCTTTTTAGAGAGCAGCCCTTAGTTGGACCTGATATCAGCTTTAGAGGTTCTGGAAAAGCTCCTTGGTTTCTTAGCTTCACAGCAATCACAGCTGAAGCCCACAAATTCTTTGAATTATTAAAATAGATCTACAAATTTAGGTGTAAAGTACAGAATATTAGGTACTTATAAGTCAGAGCAACATAATGAGAGTCCCAAACTATTAACTGATTGCATATTAATTATAAAATATTTACTCTTATAAGTCCATTTAAAGTTTTTTTCTCTCTTGATTGGGAATCTATTATAATGCATCAAAGGGATCAACACAAAGGGCCAACTATAATACAACTATTCCCAAAAGAGTTGGAAAAGATTTTAGCCCAAATCTTTAAATTATCTATAAATGTTTTTTTCATTTAAATGGACTTGGTTATATAAAATAAATAAATAAATAAAATCTTTAAATTAATGTTCTGAAAAATAATGCATTTTGCTAGGGGTTATAGTGTACATCTGTAATGCCAGCATTTGGGAAGGCAAGAAAGAACCATACCAAAACACTTTCTCAAACAAAATAAAGTAAACAAAAATGTATTCAACCTTGGTAGGACTTATCTTTCAGTAATCCCTTACCTTCCTCCTTGCAGGCAAAGATACAGAAATCAAACTAGGAGCAAAGAACTTATACAGCGACAACAAAGCCTGGAGGTGAGGCTGCATCCCCTGAAATAAAGTAAGAATTTTCCATTTTTTAATTCAGTGGCCAAATACAAACTAAAAGCTAGTATTAATTAAAAGGTGATATAAAACTAAGTCTAAACTTTCAGATTCTAATTTTACAGTTCTCCACAACCATAAAAAGCTACGGAAAAGTATAGAAATGAGTAACCACCTGGATGTGGTGACAGAAACTTTCAATCCCAACAACCAAGAAGCAGAAGTAGAAATAGAACTCTGTATGAGTTCAGGACCAGCTGGTCTACATAGACAGTGGCAGGCTAGCTAGGGCTAGTGAGAAACTGTCAGTGTGATACAAGGGAGGGTCACTTGGGAAGAATCTTTATTTAGAAAATGCCTCCATAGGATTATCCTATAGGCCAAGCTGGAGGGTGGTTTTCTTGATTGATTGAGATTTGGGGACCCAGCCCATTTTGAGTGGGGCCACCCCTGGGCAGGTAGTATTAGGGTGCATAAGAAAATAGGCTGAGGGGCAGGAGAGATGGCTTAGAGTTTAAGAGCACTGGCTGCTCTTCCAGAGGTCCTGAGATCAATTCCCAGCACCCACATGGTAGCTCACAATCCTCTGTAAGGGGATCCTATCCCCTCTTCCCCTCTTCTAGTATGCAGACAGTAGACAAAGCACCCATACACACACAATACATAAGTAAATAAATCTTTTTTTAAAAAGACACAGGCTGAGAAAGATGAAATAAACTCTTTCCTCCCCGAGGTGTTTTTAGTCACAACAATAAAAACCCTAACTAAGACATGTTCTCAAAAAAAAGAAGAAAGTAGAAAGCAAGCAACCAGATAATTTGTATCAACAATATTAAAACAAACTTCTCCCCATGGATAATCTTCTATTTTATGACTTTCCTTATTTACTTCTTCCATATTTTCTCAATTCTTGTACCTGTAATTTAGTCTTACAACTCATATTTGCTAGTATAGCACAGGTTTATTCAGAATGGCAACTTACTCAAGGTTCAGTGTTTATTAATCTTTAGAGCTAGAGAGATGGCTTAGCTGTTAAAATCACCAGGTACTCTTACAAAGGGGCCAGGCTCCATTCTTAGCACACACATGGCAGCTCACAGTCCCATAACTCCACTTCCATGAGTTCTGACATCCTCTTCTGGACCACTCAGGCACTGTACACATGTGATGTGCATACATACATGCAGACAGAATACTCATACTTAAAAAACAAGTAACTCTTTAAAAAATAAAAAGAGCAGCCACGGAATGGTGGCAAATGCCTTTAATCCCAGCATTTGGGAAGGGGAAGATGACGAAGGCAGATCTCTGTGAGTCTGAGGCCAGCGTGGTCTACATAGCAAGTTCTAGTACAGCCAAGGCTACATTGTGAGACACTGTCTCTTAAAAAACTGTGCAGGGAGGTGGTGGCACATGACTCTAATTCCAGCACTCGAGTGGCAGAGGCAGGTGGAACTCTGTGAGTTGGAGGCCAGCCTGATCTACAGAGCTAGTTCCAGGGCAGACTCCAAGCTACATAGAGAAACCCTGTATCAATAAAAAAAAAAAACCCAAAACCAAAAAACAGTAAGTAAATACTCACCTTTGAAATAAATATCAAGGAGGTAAGACTGAGAGTGAAAGTCAAGAAAACAGAGCAGATAAGATAGCAATTAAAAATACTAACTTCAGAATTGAGCAAATGGCTGTCAACAAAGTACATGCCTGGCAAGTACGAAGACCTGGGCTCTATCCCCAGAACCCACATTTTAAAAAGCCATGTGTGGTGATATATATGTTTGGAATCCCAAGGTTAGAGAGGCAGAAACAAGTGGATCCTGGGGTTTACTTGCCAGCCACTCCACTCATTTGCCTCACCAACTTAGCAAACTTCAGATTGGTGAGAAGCCCCATCTCAAAAAAAGGTGAACAGGGACTGATAAAGGCAACTGTAGCTAATCCTAATGATATAAGTTCACTCCCTTAGACCTGAATGGGGAGAAGGAGAAAACCAACTTTGGCAAGTTGTCCTCTGATCTCCATAAGCACACCATGGCACATGATGCATACCCACACATCTATACAACATACACACACACACACACACTGGAGAGAGAAGAAAGATTCATACATACACAATAAATAGACAGACAGATAAAGTGGTAGATAGCTCCTGAGCAATGACACCCAAGATTGTTCGCTGGTCTCCCTGTACACTCAAGTACATATGTGCAGCCTTGTAAACATACACATACAAGTCCTAACTTTGGAGTCATGATTGTCTCAGTGGTGAGCTCTTGCCTAGCATGGGTAAAGGCATGGGTTCAATCTGTAGCAAACACAGAGTAACGTGTACATATACACCATTTTTGTAAAAAGACCACATATTAATTACAGACATCTTTAAGACTTATTGTATGGCTGACAACTTATCTTTTGGTTCAAAAGTTAATATATTGTATTGGAGATTGAACTAAGGCTTCATGCATGCTAGCAAGTACTCTAACACTATAGATAGTGTTGATAGTGATTTTCCACTTTGTTGACTGAGTTCTCAGAAAGTAAGCTCCTTCTAGCTAAGACTCACTTGCTTTGTATCTCCAAAGCCTAGCTCAGTAACTAGCTCAAAGTGCAACTGGATATGCTAAGGTATTTTCCGCACTCACCATTTTGACTTGAAGGTCAAGCAATTTTCTCACACGAAATGGTTTGACTAGAAAACAAAAAACGAGGTTCTAAGCATTTGCTTCAGCAAAAGAAGTCAGTTACATTTAACCACCATGTAATTCTCATAATTTCTTCTTACAACACATGAAAGCTATAAATACCTCTTTAGTTAAGCCACTATGCAGAGGATCTTAGATAAAAGTACTAAAAAAACAAGTTTTACAAAATGAGTGCTATCATATCACTAATGCTAATAGTTATTTAAGTTTATAAAGGATCAAGCAAATGCTGATTCTACAGAGTGAAAGTAATATGATTGGAATGAAAATACTTACCATTCTCTTTTTTAGTCAGTAAATATAACAAATGGCAAACATAGGGGCACTGTTAAAATATTAAAAAAAAAATAAGAAAAATGACAATACTATTTGAACAAAATGACACAATATCCTCCTCAAATGTCAATCATATGCTAAGTAAGACAACTTAAGGGCTTTACTGAACAATAGTACGAAGCATTCTCTTATTACACAATAGCATTCCTTATCAAAGATCCTTGATACCAGAAGTGACTATATGTCATGATATATTTCCATGAACTTAATGAAAAAGCTAAAGGAGGATACCTAACATAAAATTCACTGATTTGTATACACACTATACAAACAGCTTGAAGGTAAACTTACACAATGATTTGAATGTGTCTGTGTTTTGATTGTGGCTTGTTGCATGAAGCAAGGAATTTTCTACTTTTTGTTTTTGTGAGTTATATGCCCACGTATGTGTATGCATTCATGCATCCTTGCATAGACACACTTGGAGACTGATTTTGAATTGTTGAATACTTTCAATTTCAGGTTCTCAGACTAGGCACGCTTAAACCTGTATATGACAATGAATTTTTTAGGGAATAATTTTAATTGGCAATGAGATGAGTGAAATTTTTTGTTCTGCCTTATTTATTTTTTGAAGATCTATTTTTAATATGACTGCTTGCCCACATGTATGTATGTGCACCACATGCCCAACTGGTGCCCATGGAGGCCAAAAGAGGGCATTGGATTCTGCAACTGCAGTTACATAGCTGTGAGCTATCCTGTGGGTGTTGGGATCTAAAGCCAGGTCCTCGACAAGAGCAACAAATGCTCTTAACTGCTGAGTCATCCATCCAGCCCAAGATTTTTTGTTTTGAAAGATAAAAACAATGTGGACAATTCTGAACAAAATTTCCTTGGAAAAAGAAAATGTGGCATTTAAACACAATGGAATTTTTCAGTCATGAAGGATGACATATTACTTGCAGGACAATAGATGCAACAGGAGATAACCATATTGAGCTAATTAAGCCAGGCTCAGAAAGATGATTATCATGTACATATATACTTGAAAATAGAAGCAAAAATGTCTAAGTGAACAAAGTGAATTGATTAGTGAGAGGAAGGGTAAAAAAATTCAAGGTAGGAAAGTATGGGGAACATGCTCAATATGTAATATGTAGTTGTATGAAATGCCCTTATGTGATACATGAACATGTACAATGAACATACACAATGAAAACTTCCAAAAATAATTTTGAAATGTGTTTCTTTCAGTCTAGTTCATATTTACTAAGATACAAACTTGAAACTTTCATCCTCAGGGCTGGAGTGATAGCTCAGAGGCTAGGAGTACTTGTTCTTTCCAAAGACCCCAGTTTGATTCCCAGCACACAATAAAGTGGTCCCGATCATCTGTCCCTCCAGTTCCAGGGCATCCAATGCCCACTCTGACTTCCTTGGGCTCCTGTATGCACACAGTGCACATATATACAACCAGATGCACACAAATACACATAAACACTTTTTAAATTTTTTATGTGTATTTGTGTGCAACTGGTTGTACATATGTGAATGTTTATGTGTATTTGTGTGTACCTGGTTGCATATATGTATACTATCAGCATACAGGATCCCAAGGGCTTAAAAACCAAACCAAAAAAAAAAATACTAAAAACTTATATCCTGGTTTCCCATTTTAAAGCATTTTATTCTATTGTTTATTGGAAATACCATTTTCAGTGATGCCTCATTTTCTATTGGGTATATACAAGTTTTTATGCACAGAGCTCTGCATATGTTGAGTAAATGCTCTGTCTCTGATTTCTAATTCCTGCCAAATATACCATAATCCAAGTAACAACTTATTCTACAGCCTGGCAAATAGAATCTACTCAATACATTTTTTATTAAATTACTGGATGACCAATCTTCTTTATTTTTAGTGTTCATCTGCTGAAGATATAGTTCACTTAGTAAAGAGTTTGCTTAGCATGCACAAAGTCCTGGTTTTAAACACAGATTTGGTGGTCTAGACCTGTAATCCCAGTACTCTGGTGGTAGAAAGAGGATCAGAAGTTTAAGACCTCCTTTAGCTACACAGCGAGTAGAAGGCCAGCCTCACATACATGAGACCTTGTCTTGGATGGATGGATGGATGGATGGATGGATGGATGGATGGATGGATGGATGGATGGATGGATGTGTAGATGCATGGATAGATGAACACATGGAGGGATGCAGGGATGTATTCATGCAAGCCACACCCAAACATTTATATATTGTCTACAGCTAGTTTGAAATTACATCAGTTATGACTCAGATAGTACAGCCCTAACATGTAAACATTTACTTCTGGGCCTTTAAGGAAAGTATGTCAACACTTACTCTCAATGACCAAAAGTGAAAAAGTCAATTATAGCTAGGCATAGTGGTTTACAATTTTAATTCCAGCACTTGGGAGGCAGAGGCAGGCAGATCTCTTTGAGTTCAAGGCCAGACTGGTCTACATAGTGAATGAGTTTCAGGACAGCCAGACCTATAAAGTGAGATCCTGTCTCAAAAAAGAAAAAAGTCAACTATTTAATGGAAAAAAAGAGAAGCAAAAGAACTGACCAAAAGGCCTGGAAGATAAAAGCTCATGCTGTGGAAACCTGATAGCCTAAATTTTATCCTTGAACCTAACAATGGGAGGAAAGAACCAATTTCCAGACCCCCTATATTCTGTGCTCACAGTGCTAAGTGCACATTCACACTCACACACAGAAATCATACTCACCCTTATGCATACACATGCATACAAATAATAAATACACGATTTAAAGAAAAAACAACACAATGATATTCTTTAAACAAACTGGCATATTAATAGCCATTACCCTATAGTCTGAAATATAGAATATTCTATACTGCTTTTTATATACTAAGAAATGGGTTCAGATAGACTCTAAGTATAATTTTAAGAAGAAAGAATTTAGATTTCAGTACAAATGCATTACCTTACACCCCTAGGATATGAACCATTAACAACACTATTCATCATGTTGAATACAAAATGAGCACCACACAATTGCTGGCCTGAGGCGCTAGTCAGTATTATAGGAAATCTGACATTCTCCTTTAATCACATCTAGAAAGGAAAAATCCATATGCATCTCATATGTTAGAGTTGCCTTGATGGCAAATATTTAACTACCACATCTGAGTCACTATGGAATCAGAATTTTATCAAATTTTATGAAAATGACTTTTTAAAATATTACTTTTAAATGCTAAATCCTGCTGCTAGCCATGATGACTCACATCTATAATCCCAGCACTGAGAAGTCAGGAAGATAGCAAATTCAAGGTTATTCTGGACTATTCAGGACATTCTGTCTCAAACAAAAAACAGAAAATGGGCTCAGTGAGAAGGCTCAGCAGGTTAAAAGCATTTTTTGCCCCATTCCCCATGGAGGGATACTCCTTTTGCCTTTAGACACGAGGCAAATTTTGATGATCCCTCATTGAAGGCTTCACCCTCCCTGGGGAGTGGATGGGTGATGGAGTGGGACGGGGTGTCTGTAGGGTGCATGGGAGGATGGGAGAGAAAGGGAACTAGGTTGGATATAAAAACTAAGAAAAAATATTAAATAAAACAATTTTTTAAAATTTTTTACAAAGCATTTGCTGCTTCAATCTGATGACCTGAGTTTGATCCCTTGAATCCACAGTGGAAGGAGAAAACCAAGTCCTGAAAGTTGTTCTCTGAAATTCACGTGCCCATTATGGTAGGTACACACCTACACTCATATATATGCATTAGAAACACAATATAACTTTTTAGAATTTTCTAAAAAGGAAAAAAAAAACCTTAGAGACCTTTTCCCTGTTTGTTGAGCTACAAAAAATGTAGTCACTTAGAAAAGAAACTTAGAGGGGCTGGAAAGTTGGCTCAGTGGTTTGATTCCTACCACACACGTGGCAGCTCAAAACTGTAACTCCAGTACCAGCGGACCTAAGGCCCTCTTCTGACCTCCAAAGGCAAGATGCATATACATATGTGCAGACAAAACACTCATACACATAAAATAATTAAATAAACCTTCCAAAAAGGCCCACAAAAACATTTTACTCATTTTAAAATGCTAGTCGTGGTCAAATAAAATAGCTCAGCAGGTATTAGCTATTGCCAAGCCTGATGACCTGAGTTCAATGCACAGGACTCACATGATGCAAAGAGTGAACTAACTCCATCAAGTTGTCCTCTGGCCTCCATACACACATCGTGGAAGGCACACCCACATATCTTATACACAGAAAATAAATAAAAGGGGCAGCAAAATGGCTCAGCAAGTAAAGGTACTTGCTGCCAAGCCGAAGAGGAGAGTACAATCCCCAGGAGATACATGGTGGACGTAGTAAACCAGCTTCCTCAAGTTGTCCTCTGATTTCCACACATGTGCCTTGACATATGCATACACCACACAGAGGCAGGTGGCTCTCTGTAAGTTCTAGGATAACCTGTTCCACATAGAAAACTCCAGGTCAGCCAAAGCTACATAGTAAGACCCTGTCTCAAAATAAAAGATAAAAAGTTCAACTTCTAATGAAACAACCTCTACAATCTATTGTCAACCCACATTTCTCATGTTACTAACCACTGTCAACTAATACCAACATTAAGTCTGGCTGGTGTCCACATTGGGAAGGGCCTAGGCTCTGCTCCAAATGATATGACAGACTTTGAAGATTGCCCATGGAAGGCCTCACCCTCCCTGGGGAGCAAAAAGGGGATGGGATGGGAGGTTGTTGGGGGGCAGGGAAGGAGGGGAGGGAGAGGGAACTGGGATACACATGTAAAAAAAAAAAGCTTGTTTCAAATTTAAATATAAAAAATAAAGCAAAAAAGAAAGTCTGGCTGGTGTGTATATAAAGTATCCTTAAAAAAATAAATAAATAAAACAATTTACACATCCCACAGCCTTGCCTGAAACCTTCCCCTCCCAACGAACATTATTTCTTCCTACCAAATCCAGAAATCACAGAGCACAGCAGCACACCAGGACTAGGCAGATAGAAGCATCCAGACCTCTAATCTCAAAACAAGCCTGATCTACAGAGCAAATTCCAAGCCTGCCAGAGCTTCATAGTGAGTCTCTGTCTCAAAAACAAGACAAAACGAAATCCCAAATTCAATCCATCCTCCCCAGGCCTAGATCAGTGCTTACATCTTTACTAATCACTCGGATTTGCAAGGTTTCAAATATAGTAGTCACTCTGTTTATGTGATTATTTTGCTGTCTTTCATAACTGAATTCTAGTTAAAATGTGTAAAGTGTTCTGTCGGCTTTGGATGTCTATGTAGCACTTGTGTGCAGTGCCTGCAGAGGCCAGAAGAGGGCATCTGATCCCCTGAAACGGTTTACAGTAGATCAAAAGGAAAGATATTTTTAATCCACCTTCTGAGTGTTCATAATTGAATCCATGGCCCCCCAAAGAGCAGCAACTGCTCTTAGGCACTGAGCCATCTCTCTAGCTTCATAATTCAATTTTTGAATTATTACCTTCATGTGAATTTTTTAATTCCCTTGCTATACTTTTGCAATACTCAACTACAGAAAGCTATCTTAGGGGTTGGTAAGATGGCTCAGTGGCTAAGAATACTTGTTACTCTTGCAGAGGATACAGTTTCAATTCACAGTACCCACATGGCATCTTACAACTATCTATAACTCTAGTTTTCAGGGATCTAACATACTCTTCTGAACTCCATGGGCACCAAGCTTGCAGGCACAGACATACATGTGAGCAAAAACACTCATATACATAAGTAAATCTTAAATAAATAAATAAATTTATTCCTACCTAGTACAAGGCAAGAAACAGGATGCAGCATAAATTTGCATAAACAAAATCAATGCATGAATTTCATTCCCAAAGCCAAGAGGAATTTGGTTAGATATGTTCCTTACATGGCCTATAAACTGTCTTTGACAATCTTCTAGGTGGCTGGCTACTACATTGATTTGTTGGCATTACTGACGTTTTTAATAGAAACAATTATGCTATTTAATTTTAAAAAAACAGTCCGTTTGCAACTTGTGAAATGTAATGTTCTCCTTCCCGTGGATTCTACTGTAGTTTTTGCAGTGTCAAGAAAATTCAAAGTCATCCAAGGACTCTGTTGACATGGTTTAAAAGAGAAAATAGCAATCACTGACCTAAATCAACAAAACTCTATCTCTAACATTATTTCCTTAAAGAAAATGTACAGCAAATACCAGGGATTTGTTAACCTGTAAGACAGTGCAGCAAAGATCTCTGCTGTGTTATTTCTTTCTACTTTCTGTATTCTTAGTACATCTTAAAATAAGTATGCAACACACATTAGGGGGCATGGCAATAAATAGAAAAACAGGATTTCACTGAAGTCAATGCTGTTCAGTGCTTACCAGAGCATCATCTTGCAATGAAGCAAAAAAGAAGCCATAGAGCAAAGTAATTTGCTTCTTATGATCAATAAAGTCAAACATCGCAACCAACCAACGATAAAAAAGTACCTGTTGACAGAGAAAATACTGTCTTTAGAGAATATAACAAATTGTTGCAGAAGAGCTTTAATCTCTCCTCAGTGCTACTTTAAAAGATTCTAGAACCAAATAGGATAATAGATTTTTATTTCTTAGTAAAAATTTCTTTTGAACAGGGTCCTTTTATCAAGCTGTATTGTTCAGAAACCACAGGCTATGTACAAAAGGTCACTGCCATTAATCCACAAGTGGCTCGTCTTTGTTAGCCCTTAAGTGGGTTCTGAAGGACTTATCCTCAAAGTATCTAAAAAGATTACCTTGGTATTACCAGAACACTTGCCAACACAGAGCCAGGACACTGCCTTAACCACAGAATCTTCGGATATGAGAGTTTCTGGAATCATGCACTTCAGTATCCGTGTGTTTACAGCATTCCCTGTAAAGCAGACCAACTCTAAATTAAACTAGATTTCAGTGTCTCAACTTTTCCTATGGTCATAACTCTCTAAAACAAACAAAAAGCAAACTATTTTGTGTGTGTACATGTCCACGTGTGTGCAGATGTGTCCATGAAAGTGTGCATCTGTAGGAGGCCAAAGTTTGATGTTAAGGGTCTTCCTTAATTATTCTCCACCTTACATTTTAAAAATTATTTTATTGTATTATTTTATATGTATGGGTAGTGTGCCTACATGTATGTCTATCAATCATGTGCATGCAAGGCCAGTAAGGTCAAAATAGGGCACTGGATCACCTGGAACTGGAGTTAGAGATAGTTGTGAGCTGCTATTGGGTGCTAGGAATCAAACCTGGGTCCTCTGGAAGAGCAGCAAGTGACCTTAACCACTGAGCCATCTCTTTAGCCCCATGCACCTAATTTTTTTTATGTACATTGGTGTTTTGTCTGCATGTATGACTGTGCAGATGCCAGATCCCCTAGAACTGGAGTTACAGACATTTATGAACTACCACGTGGGTGCTGAGAAGTGAACCCAGGTCCTTTGGAAGAGCAGCCAGGGTTCTTAAACACTGAACTATCTTTACAACTGAACCATCACTCTAGCCCCACTTACCTTAGCTGGGTCTGTCACAGATTCAGCTAGATTGGCAGGTGAAGTCCTATGGATCCTCTGCTCTCCATCTCCTCAGTGCTGGGATTACAGATAAATACATGCCTCTGCCCTTGGCTTTCTTTCTCACTATATATCAGTTTTTTTTAATTTTATTTTTATAAACGCACACGCATCACATATATATCTAAGAGCAGAATATGTCAGATCCCTAGGAATAGGATTATAGAAGGTTGTGAGCTGCCATATAAGTACTAGGAATTAAACCAAGATCTTCTGGAAATGCACCTAGTGCTCTTAATCACTGGGCCATCTGTCTAGCCCCTTGCCCTTGGCTTTTAAGTGAGTAATGAGAATTCAAATTCGGGTTCTCACTCTTGCATGGCAAGCACTTTGCCAACTGAGCCCATCTCCCCAGCTCCTAAATCAAATTATTTGACCCAAATACATCTATTATAAAAGGTTAAGGGGCTGGTGGTGGTGTCAGTGAACACCTTTAATCCCAGCACATAGGAGGCAGAGGCAGGTGGATCTCTGAGTTGGAGGCCAACCTGGTCTACAAAGTGAATTCCATGGCAGCCAGGACTACACAGAGAAACATTGTCTTGAAAAGGGTAGGGGCAGGTTAAGAGCTGATTATGGAGGAATAGGACTATAATCCTAGCACTCAAGAAACAGAGGAAAGAGGATCCTAAGTTTGAGGCCAGCCTGAGACATATAGTAAGACCTTGTCTCAAAAAGAAGAAATGAGCAAAGAGTTTCCTTTTAAGGTGATTAAAATATTTAGTAACTAGATAATTTTGATGAATGCATGACTTAGTGAATATGCAAAAGATACAATGTGGATTTTTTTTTCAGTACTAGGGCTTAAACCTACAGCCTCATGCATGTTAGGCAAGCACTCTCACTGTTCCATATTCTCACACTAATACATCCCATTTTTAAATCATCATGAATTGTCATATTATGTGAACTTATCTCAACATTAAAAAGTCTTTCAATCCAGCAGGGGCGGCATACACATTTAATCTCAGCACTAAAGAGATAGAGGCAGCAGATCCCTGTGAGTTTGAGGCCAGCCTGATCTACAGAGTGAGTTCCATGACAGCCAGGGCTACACAGAGAAACCCTGTCTCAAAAAAGTCTTTCAATCACAAGGAAATTTCAGAGTAGTTTTCACTTTAATTTTGTAGACACAATAGATTATTATTAATGGGTTAAACCTACTGACAGGTCTTTTCATGAGTTGTTGCATTTAAGAATTTTCTTAAAGGCCATGTGACTCATGCCATTATTCCCAGAACTTGGGAGGCAGGCAGATCTCTTAAGTGTGAAGGTCAGTGGACAACTAGTGGAAAAGTGGGAACTGGTTCTCTCCTTCTACTAAGTGGGTTCTAGGGACTGAACTCAAGTCTTCGGGTTTACAGGCAGGTCTGATGAGTCAGCTTGTTGGCCGATACATATCAAAGATAAGATATCCTGAATGTCTGAACATGAGATGAAAGGAAGCTACAGATAAACACTTATAGGTGGTATTTCTCAGCTTCTCTTCTACCGCTACCCTAACCAACAAAATTTAGGACAGGAAACACAAAAGAGAAAAGCACCTTGACAGTAGGGATCAGATACTAGAATGAAGACAGTATAAATAGGAACTTGTCAGATAAACAAGCCTAAAGCAATGAAACATACTTAGTGAGATTTTAAAGTTCCTCTTTGGAAACCTCCAAAGACTCCAAGCACACATGTGGTATACATACACACATGCAAGCAAAAACATTCATATACATAAAACAAAATAAATAAATCTTTTTTAAAAAGGTGCTGCATGTCCGCAAGCAAAACACTTGAGAGGCAGAGGCAGAAGGATCAAAGCAAATTCAAGACCAGGCTAGTCTACTTAGCAAATTGTTATCTCAATGTGTCTCTTCTGCTTTTCCTTTGTTTTGTTTCTCTGTTTGCATGTGTGTTTTGTTCTATTCTGGTTTGTTTATGTGCTGGTTTGTTTTCTAAAGAAACAGGGAGAGAAAGAAGGCATGGAGTAGGACGGGTAGGGAGGTGGAGACGATATGGAAGGAGATGAAGGAGGAGAAACCATGACCAGAATATACTGCATAAAAAATTATTTTCAAGAAAAACAAGAAAGACACAGTACATTTTCTTTAGAAAGAAAAACAAAACAAAGCAAAAGCCAAAAACTGTCTAACTGGCAAAATTAACAGGAAAACAATAACAAATGTATCAGTTCAACATACCAAACTTGCCACTGAGTGCCACATTTAATAAAATATCAATTGCTTCTGGAGCTAAGCCATTTTTCCAAGCCACATTTTCCACAGTTTTCAAGTGTTTTTCCAAGATCCTGTCTTTATTCAGTGAGGCTTTTTTGGGGCCTGAAAAAGAAACATAGTAAACAATGAGCCCTTGGAAATTCTTATTATTCAATATTTAGCAGCAATAGAATCTCTTTCTGGTTTTCTTTTCTTTTTTTTTTTTTCCTTTTTTTGTTCTTACTTTTTGGATTTTTGTTTGTTTGTTTGTTTGTTTTGGTTTTGGTTTTTTTTTGGATTTTTTGAGACAGGGTTTCTCTGTGTAACAACCCTGGCTGTCCTGGAACTAGCTGTTAGACCAGGCTTGCCTTGAATTCACAGAGATCTGCCTGCCTCTACCTCCCAAGTGCTGGGATTAAAGGTGTGCACCACCACTGCTTGGCAGCAATAGAATCAACACTGAAGAAAGAAAACTGCCATCATGCCCCCTGAGCCCCTGACATCTTGTGTGTATGTGTGTGTGTGTGTGTGAGTGTGTGTGTGTGTGTGTGTGTGTGTGTGTGTGTGTGTATACATACATACATACATTTAAAATGTCTCCAGTGTTGGTATTACAAGTGTGTCTGCCACTACATTCAGCAATTAGGACTGAAATATTTTTAGAGAAATAGGACTTTGGGGCTTGGGCTTGGGTTGTAACTCAGATTTGATAGTGTTGGTGGTTTCTATCACCAGCTCCACATAAACCAGGCATGGTAATGCACACCTGTAATCTCAGTGGTCAAAAGTTAGAGGCACTCAGACTGGGAGCTCAACGTCACCCTCTGCTGCATAGTGAGTTCAAGGTCATCCTGGAATACATAGAGATTTGGTCTCAAAAAAATAAATTAAAAAAAACTTAGAATTTCATAAGGCAAACAATCTGACTTCACCTTTCTGAAAGTATCCTACTGCTATTTGCAGATCATCTTCAGCTTGTGTAGAATTTTCCATAGAATTGCTTTCTTTTAAGATCCTCTTCAAGTTGCCTGATTTCTCTTTTACCTTCCAGGATAAGAGATTGGTCTGGAAACTATTATTGCCTTGAGAAACTCTGTTTTTTAGCTGGGAGCTTCTAGTATTCCGAGTTGCCATCACTGTATATATGTTCTAGACAGAAACAAGTACCAAGTTACTATTAATCAGCCAGAGGCAATGGCCATTTATGCCCAAATTCCCACAAGCAACAGGTATTCAATGACGAAGAATCCCGGAGATATAACCCATAGGCTTTTTTTTTTTTTTTAGGAAGCCCTAGACCTGAACAGAAATAGATTAATAACTTGGCAATATAATGTACATCAGCTAAACTGAAAATGGCTACATTTTTAAAGCACAAAACCATACCATCTCATGATTACAATCTTTTTCAACTACTATTTTATATGCCCCTCCATGATTTTGCTTTAAATCTTTATACTCTCTTTGTTAAAATGCAGTTTAAAAACCTCTAAGCAGTGTCCAGGGTAACATTATCCCCATTAATTCCTACATTCGATAAGTAATCACTGCATATCATCTTTGTGCCAAACACAAGTCTAGTTGCCAGGGCTGTAAAAATAAAACAGCATGGTACCAGAATTCATGAACCCTACAGTGGGGGCCCAGGGTTAAAAGCCAATGAATCAGTAAAATGACTAGTGCAGTGAAGTGACAGAAATGAGGCGAAGTAGGAATCTAATTCTGAATAGGTATTCAGAGAAAGCCTCTTGTGGTTTGAATGAGAATACCCCCCACACACACACACACAGGCCCATACATTTGAATACTTGAACCCCAGTTGGTGGAACTGCATGGGAATACTGGAGGAGGATGTGTTCCTGGGGGTGGGCTTTGAGATTTCAAAATTCCACACACTCCCACTTCGATGTCTGCTTTATATTTGTGGAAAAGATATAAGCTCTCAGGCTGGAGAGATGGCCATCAGTTAAGAGCACTGACTGCTCTTCCAGAGGACCCTGGTTCAAATCCTAGTACCCACATGGCAGTTTTAAAAAAAACTGTAACTTTGCTTCCAAGAGATCTGATACCTTCATACCAATGCACATAAGATAAGTAAATTATTTTTTTAAAGGTGAGCCTGGTGGTGGTGTACACGTACATACTTTTAGTACAAGCACTCAGGAGGCAGAGGCAGGCAGATCTCTGTGATTTCCAGGCCAGCCTGGTCTATAAAGCTGCACAGAGAAACTTCGTCTCAAAAAACAAAACTAAACAAAACAAAAAGAAGATCTAAGCTCTCAGCTACTGCTCCAGTGCCATCCTTGCCCACTGCCATGATGGTCAGGGATTCTACTACCCCCTGGGATATTGAGGGCTCAAGTTAAATGCTGTCTTTTGTAAGTTGCCTTGGCCATGGTGTCTCTTCACCAAGAAAGAAAAGTAATAAAAGCACACATCGAAAGTGAACTTTAAGGTGAAATCTAAGTGTGAAAAAGGAGTGCACCATTTGAAGGTGAGGTGGACCAGTATCTTTTGTGAAGAGAAAAGAAAAGCATATGAGCAAGAAAGAACTTGGTGTACTAAAGAACACACACCAGCTCCAGTGTGAACAGTGAGGAGTGGAAGAGGTAAAGTGAGAGGTTAAGTCAGAACAATAACAAGGCAGATCATACTGGTTCTTGCAGGCTAAGAGTGAGGGCTCTGACTTTCCAGTCAGAGTTTCAAGGGAAACCATAGGAGAAAAAAAAAAAAAAAAACAGAAAAAAATGTAAGACCATTTTTTTTCCTATACTGTAGAGACTAGAGTTTAGGAGTGTTGAAAAAACACTTACCAGACTTTGCCAAAGAAACAGATGAATGGCCTGCAGTAGGCCTAAGTTGTGTAAAAAAGACTCATGTGTCCTAAAGGCAGACTTGATGCTCTATTTAGCAGCATATCTTCTTGGGTAGACTGTTAAAAAAAAAAAACAACAACAACAAAGAATTAGACACAGGTACAACGGAAACAAGGAATGACTAATGAGGAACCAAGACTGGTTTCTAAGTTTTTAGATTCAAATGGGAAAATCTATAGGAACAGAGGAAATGACATTCAATCTCTTCCCCCTAGAACAGATGAGACCAGAGCAAGAGAGCAGGTAAGTCAGAGGGAGGGGAGGGGAGTTCCGGTGACAAGAGCGTCTTACATATGACGGGCCAGGGAGCAGATTATGATCCCATTGGGCGATCTGTTCCAAGGCCTCTTGTGATTCAAGTCACAGCCTTCCCCTCCCCGCCTAACTGCGAAACTGGCAAACAACTCCACTACTAGGCCGATTCCTGGGGTGGTAGAAGGAAATCTGATCGCAGCTACCTTTGTCAGGGTTAGTCTCACCCTCGTGAGTCATGATATTCCAGAAGACCTCTGTGCCTCCAACCTACCCCACTCGCGCGCCTCTTCTCCTTGAGAGCCTCTATGTCAGAACACGGCCTCCAGATCGCACCAGCCGCCGCCAAGATTCAAAGGCGCAGGCCCTGCCCCGCGCATGCGCTTCGGGGGAGACCGCGGCTGGGGTGGAGCGAGTTTGGCAGGTTTGAGTGCTGCTGTAAGGCGGGAGGTGGCGCGCGCTAGGGAAAATGACGCGGCTAAATGACGTAAGCGGCTGGCCCCACCCACGGAGGCCTGAGACACGCCCCAGCCGGCAGTTGCTCCTGGAGTCAGTTGATTGATTGGTGGCTTTCTACATGTTCTGAGGTTTGCGTCAGTCATTCTGAGTGAGAGTGCTAAGTGGCTTGGCATTGAATTTAACTGACCTTAAACTAGCTAAACCAGCAACAAAAACTTAGTACGAGATCTAACTTTAACCCCTAATTTAATATCTATTAAACTAGGAATAAAACCCAGAGTGATGACTGGAGTGTGTAATCCCAGCAAAGGAGAGACTTAGGGAGGAAAACCACCAAAGGTTTCTAGGGCTCTCTGAGCTATAGTGTGATCTTGTCTTAAGCAAAGTGAATTCTAGGACAGGCTCCAATGCTACATAGAGAAACTGCCTTGAAAAACCAGAAAGAGAGACAGGAGAGAGAGAGAGAGAGAGAGAGAGAGAGAGAGAGAGAGAGGAAAATTAGGACTGAAAAAGGAGATGTAGAAATGTAATGCCTCTCAGTAACTTGCAGCCATAAGATTATTACGAACTTTATGCAAAATTGTACAGGAAAATTTTTCCATCTCATACAAGCATAAATAATCAAGAATTAAGTTGAAGTATTGAGATAGACATCTACCCCATCTATGACCTGCCAGAGTGCGTGAAGGGACTGGTCCTGTGGAACCATATCTGCAGGATCTCCATGACTCTGGGCATCAGCAGATTATTCAGAGGAGGTTCGGTGAGGGTCCTATACTGATGGTGTACCCAAAGCCTGAGGCCTTGACCCTGACCAACAATTCGTTGCAATGAACATTTGCAAGTAAAGCTGAGTGGATAAAAGGGTATACTGTATGACACATAGCAGCTCGCAATGCCACTAAGATGAAATGAAGAGGCGAGAAAGAGGAACTAAGGGGTTTTTTGTTTGTTTAATTTTGTTTTTAATTAGTATTTTTAAAATTTTATTGGGGGATGATAGAATGATGAGGGGCACATATGTTAGGACTGGGAAATGAGCAGGATTGGGGTGCATAATGTAAAATTCCCAAAGAGCCAATAAGAAACTATGTTTAAAAAATAAAAGGAAAGGGGAAAAGAAGCAATAAAGAGGAAATGTATGAATATAATGCCTCTCAGCAACTTGAAACCCTAAGATTATTAGGATATGTACGCAAAATCATACAGGAAATTTGCCATCTCAGACAAGTATAAATAATCGAGGGTCAAGGATCAAGTTGAAGTATTTGAGATAGACTACAGAAGAAACGACTACCACATCTAACATGGTTTTCAGAGTGCTTTGACAAACTCATTTACTCATGCATAAAAATTGAGACTGTCTATTTTTCCTGATAGCTGCTCTTTAGGAAAATTGAAATTTTTATTGAGCCATTTTTCATGCTTTTAATGATGTAATATACTCAAAGAAGTGTAAACTGGACAGGGTTAAAGGCTTCACCCTCCTTTTCACAGATGAAATGGTACCATAAATGATGAAATAACTTATTTAACATGACAAATTTGTGGCAGTGCAACACAACTTGTCGCTTTGTGGACATAGTGTAGTAAAAGAAACTGCTTCATATTTATTTAATGAATCCTTGATTTTTTTCTAAAATTTGTTTTTTTTTGGTGTTTTGAATCAGGGTTTCTCTCTAGCTTTGGAGCCTGACCTGGCACTCACTCAGTACACCAGGCTGGCCTAGAAGTCGTAGAGATCCACCTGCCTCTGCCTCACAAGTGCTGGGATTAAAGGCATGGCCCACCACCATCCGACCTGAAGAAAATTTTCATCTTTTCCTTTGACTCATTCAATAAAGACATTCTTGAACCTGGAGATGACATTGGGATCCTAAGGCTTTATCGTAAGACTCTAAGGCTCTTCTCTCTTACATGGTAACTTCAAAAAAGTATGAAGGAACTTAAAAGGATGAACATATTAGCAGCCTCATTTGTATACTGAGATTATTATACCTTTCTTCTCTTCTTCATCTTGACTTTTGTTTGTTTAAGAGCCTGGAGTTAGGTGTGGTGCTACATACCTTTAACTAAGCACTCAGAAGGCAGTCCTGAGTTCCAGGACAGCCAGGGCTACCCAGTGAGACCTTGTTTCGAAGAGGGGAAGATAGAGAGAGCAGGTTCCTGTCCCTGAGTGTAGTGAATGACACAGTCCTGGATGCCCAGTATTTGTGAACTAAAGAAAGAGAATCTCTACTTTGAGGTCAATTTAGGCTACACAATGAGACCTTGCCTTAAAACAAATGAATACCACCAACAAACTCAAGAAATTCACACACACAGAAGGAGCTGAGTCTCATGGTTGTAGGAACTTTTCTTTCCAGATTTTCAATCCATATCCACACTATGTCCTCCAAATTTCAAAAACCTTTATTTTGAAAGAATGAGCGAAAGAAGACAGTTATCAATTACTAAGAACAATGACACTGAAGAAAATACAGTAAGTACTCTCCCACACACACAACCCCCACCCACTTTCTTATCCCTGACACAATATTCAAACCATCAAAGCACATTTAACAAAGAGAAACAGCAGTATGTAACTACTAGTCCATACTGCTCAGTCCAACTAACCCATGTCAAATGCCCTTCCCTTAGTTAAACCCCACCCACTGGAATGCTGAAGAGGTGCAAAACAGACATTTCTGGGGGGTATTTTGGACTTCTTTAACATTAGCAAAGTCCTGTGACAAATCAATAGGAGTAGAAGGAGTAGAAGACTCATCTGATAGATAAACACTGGGCTATAACTTTTGTATCCAATTTCAGATTTCAGAAAACCACTAAGGCTGGAGAGTCTAACTTTTAACAGGATCAATCTCTGGTACCTCAGTAGAAGCTGTGGGGAAGCTGTCAGATCCTGGTTGGCTACTGAGAATAGTGAAAGTGAGGCAGCTTTGGGCTCAAAACCAAATTAGACCATGTCTACTAAAAGACTGCTAATTAAATTTCAAACTGCTAGCCAAAGAGCTTAGGCTCAGACAAAGGCAAGGAGAAACCTTCTACTGCATCCCTTGAAGAACCAGACTGTCTATCTATTGGCTGTATATATTCCTTGTTTAAATTAAACTTGATGTTGAGTGTATTGAACTTAAAAGTTGAACTGGAGGCTAATTAAATTGAAGAAACTCTTCTCATAAAATGGTGAGTTTAAGTTCACAGCTTAATGCAGAAAGGAAGTTCTACTCCACATGGAAATAGGTTTTTTGTTTTCTACCAGAATAGGAATCTCTTAACAGGAGGGTTCCTTTAGTCTATCTTTGCCAGAATCAGTTTATACAGGGAAAGATTCATGTGCAGGATTAGTTCAAGACCAGATCCTCCTCTACACATGCATGTATATTCACACACATGGCAGCTAAATACAATCCCCTACATCTCATCTCACAGTCACATGCTTGCTGGAGTCCACCTCACAAGCACACCTCAATAGTAGCCATAGATAGTTACATGCAGCAAGATGTGAGCATTGCTCCAGAGTAATTAAAGTTGGTACAGGAATGGCAATGTGGGGAGGTCATCTTAGGGTACAGATGTACACAAGCCAATTAACTTGGGGTTTATATTTTTCTCTTTTCCCCAAGATAAACAAATCAAATGAAAAGCACACACTGGTATTTTCTTGGGTGTCAAGGAGGCAATTGCTTCGAAAGTCCACTTTTTTTTACACTTTCAATATCCTATGACACCTTCACTTTGCCCTGCGGGGCCTTCTCATATAAGGAGGGTTGCTCCTCTGCACTCTCAGGCAAGCCCTTCTTCTCAGAAGCCCGGTCTTCAGGCTTGCGTGCAATCAACAGGCGGCAAGTGAGCAGGATTCCAAACACTAGAGCATGGGCATAGCGTTTGAGGGGATCACCGACCAGCTGGTGGAAGAAAAGCACGGCCAACACCAGCAAGAGCAGGAAGAAGTTGGCCACATCTTTGGGACGCCCAGGCACCAGGGTCATGACGATGCCACAGACCACTTCAAGAGCACCAATGCTTTTCCGAAGGAGAATGGAATTGATGCCCATTTTCTTCAGCAGGGGAAGGGCTCGGACATAGCTCTTGTAAGCACGTTTCTAGAGTTGAGATATCATAAGGAAATCAATGCATTAGTCACAATTTTAACATCAGAATGAAGAAAACACCAGCAAGGGAATTTTTCCCCCAACCATCACCTTTTAAAACCAATCAAAAGTATCACATTTTTTCATCCTGTCCCTCAAATCAAACCTTGTGAATGGGATAAGAAAAGAGAAGGCAATCTGTTTGGGATCTGTGATTTAAAAACTATAAAAAGTATAAGGGGAGAGATGACTCAGTGGTTAAGAGCACTGCCTGTGTTAGGCATGATGGCACATGCTTTTAATCTCAGTACTTGGTGTTGGCAAAGTCAAGCTGATCTCTGTGAGTTCAAGGTCAGCCAGGTCCATATATTGCACTCCAGAACAGCCAGGATTGCATAGTTTAGAGACTCTGCTTCAAAACAACCCACAATAACTAAAAGGGCACTGGGAACTCTTGCAGGGGACCTAGACTGGATTCCCAGTACACACGTGGTGGCTCATAATCTTTTCTAACTCCAGATGCATGGGGACCTGCATCTTCGGGCTTCTGTGGCATTCCCAGAATATTGTACACAGACACACATTAAAAAAAAAACACTCATACACATAAAAACGAATTAGAAGGAGCCATCAAACCACAAATAAGGCCCTCAGCCAACCCAGACCTGCTAGCACCTTGACGTTGGACTTGGACTTCTGAATTGAAAAAAAATAAATACATAAAAAAGTGTTGTTCACTGTTGTTCTCACATTGCCTATTTGTAACATTTTGTTATGGCAATCTGAATGGACTAAGACAGTCACCAAAAGTAATAACGTACCAAACCTTGCTTTATAATACTTTCTTTTTAGAGTTGCTGCCTGTAAATCACTAAGAAACTAAAATAAATTTATTGAACCCATAAAACTGGTCTATGCAATCCATATCCACACTTTCTAGTACTTGCTTTGTCCAAGCCCAAATGCAAGACAATGTGTTGGAAAGCCTCACAAATTTGGACTTCCTTTATTGAATGCATGGTAGGTTTTTACAAAGCAGAGTTTAAGTGTGGAATTGTAGAATCTACCAAAAATGCTGCTCAAATTAAAAATACAAATGGGGCTACAGTTGACAGAGCAGTTGCCTAGCATGCATGAGGCCCTGGGTTCAATTCCCAGACTGCATGAATAAAGCATGTTGGCACTTGCCTGTAAGCCTAACACTCCAGTGGTGAAGGCAAGAAAACCAGAAGTTGAAGGTCATCCTTAGCTACATAGCTATACATAGCTACATGTATAGCTACATATACATGAGATTCCAGTCTCAAAGAACAAACAAACCCTGGTTCCATTCACTGCCTCAATATTTACACTTTCCATATACTAGGCACTGTACTAAGTATTCTGAATGCAAATATGAATCTTTCAAAAAGAAAACCTTATCTTCTTTTTTAATTTACTTATTTATTCTTGTCATATTTTACATTCTGACCACAGTTTTGCCTCCCTCCTCTCATCTGAGCCCCCTTCCTACCTTCTCTCTCCCCCAGATCCACTCCTTCCCCCTTTCCCTTCAGAAAAGTGCTGCCCTCCTATGGATACCAATCAAACATGGAATATCAAGTTACAATAAGACTAGGCACATGCTCTCATCTCAAGATTGGACGAGGTAACCCAGTTGGAAGAAAGAGGTCCCAAAAGCAGGCAAAATAGTCACAGAGACCCCCACATCACTCCCATGTTTGGAGTCCCACAAAAACACCACGATATACAACCCTAAGGTGTATGTAGAGGACCTAACCCAGACCCATACAGGCTCCCTGATTGCAGTCGCTGAAGTTTAAAAGGGGCCAAGTAGATACTGAGATGTAAGTGTGATAAAGTGTGGACCATCACATACAATAATGTAGTGGGTGTAGTGGAGGCCTCTGGTGTTTATAAGAACAATAAAGGTTTGACAAATGGAGGAAAATAGATGGGTAAAAAAGGTTCTAAAGTATAAAGCAGATAAATGTCTTGTAAACACTACTTCACTTTGACATGGACTGGAGCAGAGAAAGGAAGGGAGACATGAAATAGAAGAAAAACATATAGACTGCATGATAGAAAATTTCATTGTGTTATGGAGCTTTGGACTTTGTCCTATAAGGCAGCAGAAGCAATATAATCTGATTATAAGGAATGTCTTTTTGGAAACCATGAGAATGTATTTGAACTTGCAAACAAAGACACTGAATGAAATGCCTAGACTAGCAATATAGAACATACATACACAGTTAAAAACCCCAAATAAAAAAACAATTCTAGGGCTGCTGATGTAGCTCAGTTGGTAGAGTGCTAGCCTAGTATGTCTGAGGCTAAATGATTTGGACATGTGTGCCACAAATCTGTTAATCCTAGCTTGGGAGGAAGAGACTGGAGGATCATCATCAGCTACAAACTGAGTTGGAAGCCAGACTGGGATACATGTGATCCTGTCTTAAAAACAAAACAAAAACAGAGAAAGGACAAAAAATTCTAGAATCCACAAATAAGAGAAAATAGGTAAAATTGTTTTTATTATCTGAATGCACTTAATATGATCTCCAGTTGCACCTACTTTCCAGCAAATGACATAATTTCATTCTTCTTTATGGCTCAATGATCTCCATACTGTAAGAGGAGACTCTTGTGGGATGGAGAGAAGGCTCAGCAGTTAAGAGCATGTACTGCTCTTGCAGAAAATCCAAGTTCAATTCCCAGCACCTATGTTGGGGGGGGGGAGGTCACAACCACCTGTGACTACAGCTTTAGAAGATATAACCTCTGCCTCCATGGGCACCTCCGGTCATGAGACTCATGGCTTGGTAGTGGTTCAGTCCCAAGTTCATACAACACACAAGAGTTGTCAAAAGCACCTGATGGAGCACTACTCAGGTCGGTTCTCAATGTCTTCAACAGCAGACTGAAGAAAAGTTATACTTACACCTCTATTAGAAGCTTTTCGCCATCCTTACTATAGCATTTTTCACTAGGTATTGTAAGTAATCTATAGGTGGGAATATGTACATAAATAATGTACATACTAGATAATTTTAAGTGAAACTTGGGCATCTAAGGATTTGGGTATCACTCCACTGTTGTCCCTACCCTGCTGCTGAGCATGTAAAAAATATGGTAGTCATAGTTCTTCCTCCCTTTTCTCACCTTAAGTTAGAGCAAGGGTTTTTTAGAGTGAAATTAAGAGAGATTTGCCAGGTAGAGTAAATTCTAGGCCCAAGGAAACCAGAGGCCATATAGAGCAGAACTCAGCTCAGAGTTACAGATGTTGCTGAAAAGCCTACCCCTTTTCTCCATGGTTAAGCACTAGCCTCCTCCCCACCCCCAGCTCTTTCTCCTGGTGATAGTAGCAGGAGGAGATTAGAGAAAGAATTCTGGATACAAGGTACTTCTTTAATATTTATAAGGACCATTTTCTCTCTATTTCTTTTGAAGACAGTTTCATGTAGTTTTTCAAGGAGGAATTCCTAAATCCTGAAGTCTAAGCTTCTGGAGGATGCACAAAGGGGAGAAGGTAAGTCTCTTAGAAATCCTACAGTCCCTTCAGGTCCCAGAAGTTCCGAATCTGCATTGAGTAGCTTCTCCAAATGCCACACCCCCAGCTATGAATCACTTAACACTCAAGAATAGATTCTTATCTATAGTATTATGGAATCCGTAAGCAGTCATCCTCCTGTCCCTGTAACCACACCAGAAGAAACCTTATTTTCAGCACTGGGACTCAAACCCAAGGCCTCATACACGAAGCTAGGTAAACGCTCCAGCACTGAACCCTTGTTTCTTCTTTCTTAACAGAAAACTAAATGTGGGTAAGGCACTTCATCAAATCTTTAGTTTTAAGCTAAATAGACACACATAGGACCTATTATCCATGACTCCAAATGGAGACTGAATAGTTTATTAGAAATGGGGTAGATATTGACATTATAGAGAGCCTAGTATTCTTTTTTTGTAGAGTAGAATAGAGGCATCAAAAGACTCCTACCATTGCCAGCCCCTTTATAAATGCTTGGGACATGCCACCTCACTTCTAACCGTAGAAGGTCACACGTCTTGAATCTGTAGTAACTAGATCTCTAAAGTCATTAGAGGTACTGATGATAAAAAAAAAAATAAAGAGAGCCTACTGACTCCCTTTCCCAAAAAGTTGTCACAATTCACTTTTTCACATCTGCTTTTACCTTTCCATTCAAATGAGGCAGACCCTGAAACCATAGGTTCCTGAAGAGGCAAAGAAGTGGGGAATAAATGTGTTTAGTCAAATGATTCAAATCTCTTCAAAGGCAATCCTGTAGCATTATCATTGGACCTGTATTTGTTTTGTTGCCTGTATCTTATTGCTTCAGTTTCCTCTTTTATAAATTAGATGATTATTTTGGAAATGTAATTGAAGGTTCACAGTACTATAGCTTCAACTGAGAGTAGCGCGCGAGAGCACACACACACACACACACACACACACACACACACAGACACATTATTAGAAATCAGAACTTAAATGGGATATTCTGAAATTTTCTGGAACAGTACAAGTATGTGTTAGCTGTGTGTTATACTCCAATAACATTTACAGAGAAAATTATATGAGAGTGGAAGGGTGCACTTACAAAAAATATATTTTGCCTAAAAGTCTCAACCTAGTTACTATCTTAGACTGCATAAAACCTACACAAGTGCTGCAAAATTTGCTGACTCATGTATGATTTTCATGAATTTTTGTAGAAAACAAGCCACCTGTGAATCATAGGGAATTACTTGAATGCAATAAAGAGCTCATCACATTAAATTGCTAACTATTCACATGAATGATAAGCACCTTTTCAGTGATTCCGCTTTCCATTGTCATTTATATTTACCTAAAGAGGGCTCTAACAAAACTGATCCCATTAACCAAAGGGGATCCTGTCTGCATTGCTTCTTAGAGAGGGTGAAGCTGTCCTCTACTGTTAAGTCAAAATCACTCTGAAACAAAGTCAGATGTTGGTCAAACTGAGCGTCTACAAAATTCCAGACACAGCTCTGATGTAATGTTTAGCTTTGTGCGGCTAGCTGTGTGAACTAAGCAACTCATGTCACATCTCAGGGTCTGTTTTCTCTCTAAGGGAATAGATATAGTGCATCACTTCCAAGAAGTCTAAGCATCAGTGAATTACTACCCTATTACCTAGTTGGAAAGCAATTAATGGCACTGATTGGAAGCATAAAAGATTACCTATGGACATTAAATAAACTGCACAAACATGTTAGAAATGTCTCAATGGGGTTACACAAACAGGGGAGCATTTAACTAAGTACAGATAACCAAATTAACCGAACAAATCTTTTCTGTGAGTGGATGCAAAGAATCAGAGACACCCTATGGTCCCCAGGGTACAAATCCTTTGGCTTCTTTGTGACAATATTTTGGTGTTTTCTAACTAATACATATGTGGTCCTGTGCTTACAGGATAGAACCACCACTAAATAAAGCTGAATACAAATTGCATGCAAGTTAGCCATTCGTATACCCTCCCAGTCCCTGCACAGGAAACAGCTTAGCAGCATCTGTAAGCATTGTCTCCCAATTCAAGTGAACTAATGAGGCATTCAGTCAAGGGCGGCTTCGATCCTGCAGGATTCAGTTGGAATACAGAAGACTGTATAATAACACTTCCTTAATCTGGAGGAGGTATGAGACAACACATACCAAATGGATTATTCAGAGATGCATGTGCTAATTCTGTAGGAGAGTCACTGTGCATTACACAGCAGCAAGTGGATTCTTCAATATTATCTGATTGCATAAAGGTCTCTTTACAAGAGCAAATGAAAGTACATTTTGTTCTTCTGTGCACTCGATTCTTGATCCTTAAATGACCATTCAAATTAGTTAGAAAAACCACTGCATAAAATAGAATCAATTATCACCATTACCTACTCAAAGATTTCCTTTGCTTGCTACACCTACTGTAGCAAGCACTGTACCAGACATTATAAGCATGCTGTCTCAGCTAATGTTTACAACCTTTTGAGGTAGGAATTCTTATTCCCATGTTACAAATAAGGAAACCCAAAGGACCAGAATTCTATATCTGGCTTGAATGAATCCAAACCCTGAACTCTTCCTACTAATATTTCCTATATTCTCCAGTCAACCCAGAAGAAAAGTTCATAGTCTTTTGTTTGGTTTTTAGCACTTTCTCCAGTTATTCTTCATAGAGGGAGTACTACCTAAGACAACATAATAGCTTATTTTTTTTTAAATTGAAACAGAGTCTCTCTATGTAGTCCTATCTGTCTCAGACCTTGCCCAGGTTGGCCTCAAACTCAAAGAGATTCACTTGACTTTGCCTCTCAAATACTGGGATTAAAAGTGTGCTTCACATGCCTAGAATATAATGCCTTTAAAACAGAGGTTAAAAAAAAAAAGTAGAAAAGAACATGGGCAGTGGTGGCACACACCTTTAATCCCAGCACTTGGGAGGCAGAGACAGGCAGATGTCTGTGAGTTCAAGGCCAGCCTTGTCTTCAGAGTGAGTTCAACGACAGGTTCCAAATCTGCAGAGAAATCCTGTCTAAAAAAAAAAAAAAGAAAAAAGAAAAAAAAGAAAAAAGAAAGAAAGAAAAAAATGCATAAGTGCATAAGTCTAAATTTGAAAAATTGGCTCAGAAATAAAACAACCCTCCAAAATATAGATTGGGGATTGAACTCATACAAAGAAAAAGGAAGAAGAATGTCAGGTATTTTTAAGACTCAGTTGTAGGTTTTGTCAACCCCCCAAAAATTCAATGACCCCTTATGCACATGGTTTTTTTAATCTCTTCTTTAACAATAGCTTTCCCTGTGATCTTGGATAAATCATTAAACCTGGTGAGCTCCAATTATCCATTAGTAAAACAGGAAGGGCTAATAAAAGAATCACAGAGATGTTCTAAATAAGTAACATAACTACACCAGCACCACCTTGACATCTTATGAGAAATACCACTGCAGTAAACATAATGACTAACTTCACTAGTGCAGAGAAGTCACTCCAAAATGGGAAATAATCATTCCATCTGTTCTAAGTTTGGTGTTCTGACGGACTATTGGCCTCTTCTCAGAAGCAAGAAATGGTTTCTGAACTGCATATTCAAGAATAAACCAGAAAGGAATGAAGGATGGTGATGAGGCAATGTTACAATAACTCTTTTGACTCATTCATTCACCCATCCATCATCACACAACATATATATCCTTTTGGAGACAGGGACTTACTATATACTCCAGACTAATCTCGAAATTCCAAGTCTCTTTGCCTTAGCATGCTGGGTGCTGTCAACAAATGTATATTGAGCACATTTTGCTCAAGAATGTGAATACTGCCTGCCTTTCAAATGGGCTCAAGATTAAAGCTGGGACCAGTCTGGCCACTATGCAGTGGGCTCTATGACAGAAAGCTATCAGCAGCCACAGCCTGACACTCAGCGCGGGAGGAGACCCTGGAAATGAGCAGTCTGAAAATCCTCTTTAAGCTTCATACTGCTGCGACATCTACCTTCGAGTTAGATTGCCACCCCTCCAAAAGCCCCATAGTACAGAAACACAGAAGTGAGCTAAAGCACACAAACACGCACACAATTGTTCCCCACTGCTCTGTTAGAGTACACCAATTTAAATCTTTTTCTGTATATGCCAGGAGTCCTTCAGGCTGTTTTCTCTTGCTTTCATTAGGCTGCAATAGACAGCTTCACTCCCTAGGAAGAGGCTCACTCTAAACCCATTTGTGGCTAGTACTCCTCATGAGCTCCTGCCAAGCTGCTACGAAGCTTCCTGATGCTGACTCCATCTTAGCCGAATTGCCTGCAGAGCCTAACACTGTACTTAGGGTGCAGCTTGGGGGTCCTCCCCTAAGGCAGCTGGGCAAAGGTTCAGAGTCCAGGAAGCATAGTGAAGAAAGGCAGGTCCCTAAAGAAAGGGAAAGCTCAAAATACCTCTGGTGCACGCACACAAATGTATAAATAAATGTACATGTGAAAAGTGAAGCAACAGCACATTCGTGCATTTAAAATCAAACACCAAACTAGTCCAGCAAAGACAAAAGCAGAAAAGCATTCCCTCCACTGCTTCCCTGTATCCCCACCTCTTCAAGCCCTTTGGTGGCTTCTGCCCCCTCACCCTACCCCCTTCCCCAGTGCAGGCAGCCTTGGCTACTTATTTTGACCTGCTTTCCATCCATCTGCTCTAACATACTGGGAGGAGGGGAGATGAGAAAGAGAAGCATATTAGGATTTGCTACTGGGGCTAGACCTAAGCCACCTCCCCCCCACCCAAGAGTAATCCCGTGGTAAGGAAGAAACAGAAAGCTCAAGCCAGAGCTGTGTGCAAGTATTTTCTGAACATTTACCATTTGCCAGACTTCATCCAGTAGCAGCTCATGTTGAGGGGCCCTGGAAAGCTCTGCAGTGTAGCTCTAGGAGAGCAATTAATCCCTTTCAGTGTATGAGGCTGTTCCTTCCTGCCTCAGCCCTAAAGGAGAGACCCCCTTGCCTCCTTTCTCTTTCTTCTGTTCTCCCCTAAGCTCATTCCCATCTTGACCTTGAGAGCCCAGTAATGTGCTTACTCCCATTATTGGCAATCTGGCAAGGGCTTCTAGAAACAGGTTCCCTACAATCGGGGCCAGGAATCGAATAGGCAAAGTGACAGGGGCGGAGGGGAGAGACCGAAAGTGCTGGAAACATCTCTTGCTCTCTCCTAGTACTCCACGCCATAAGTCCTCATCGCACCTAACTGGGAAAGGCAGCCCAGCCCCCAGTTTGCAGAGCTGTTTTGGCCAGTCACCTTCGGGCATTCCAACTCTGCAGAGAGGAAACCTGCAGAGGGCCTGGCTCTGGGCAGCCACCGAAGGCATGGTGGGGATTACAGACAGTTTTGCAGGAGAGTACGAACAGACTTGATAGATTTTGTAGAATAGCCTATACACAAGATAAAATAAAACAAAACATGCAGCTTTCCCCTCCAGGGAAGGGGCAGAAGCACAAGCTCGGTGACCTTTATTTGGGGCAAGACTGCTTTGTCTCCAAGATCCAGATCGTGCCCGGGCGCCCAAGGGAATACTGTCAGCTCTGCACATGGGATGAAGAAGAATACCTAGGCAGCCCCTACAAGCTGCTAGCTTTAGGAAACTGTCACCTCATCCCCCCCCCCCCAGCTCTTCTTCTCTTTCCCCTTTGTTCCTCCCTAAATAAATAAACTCTGGCTGGCTAAACTCTTTGCTTAGAGAGAAAGACTCAGACTTGCAGCCTGGCTGTGGCTGGGACTTTGGGTGTGTGCTGGGAGGAGGGACGGGTTCGTCGATGACAGGTGCTACGCAGGTCTCAACCTCCTGCTTGACTTAAAATTGGGGGTCTTCGCTGGGCAGCCCCTCCCCCAACTGGCATGCAGTGGCACCAAAACAGTTGCTCCCGGCATAGCCCACAACGAAATCGCGCTTGTCCAGCTGTTCCTTCCAAGCTGTAAAGTTGTTAGGGAGAAGGGAGGGTCTGGGGTTAGGGGAGAGGTTAAGGGAAAGGCACTGGAGCGGAGCAGAGAGGAGAAATAAAGGAGAAGAGGCAGTCACAATCCCATAGGAGTGCGCTCCTCATTGCCCCTTTACATCACTTACCATCTCACTGTAGGCATCCTTGCTGAGCCTGGGGGTCAACTTGATAGTCCCCATGAAAACAAAGAAGAGTCCCAGGGCCACTGAGAGGGCCACAATAGTTATGGTTCGTGGGGATGCCATGGGGTCGCCAAGGCAGGTCCCAACTAATCCTTCTGCTTTGCGCAGCCTGGGCTGTCAAGGCGCAGGCAGTTAGCACAGGGAGAGCTAGAGGCACGCTGCGGAGGCAGCTGGCAGAGAGAAGAATGACAAAGGGAGAGGAGGGAGCTAGAGAGAAAAATTGAGAGATCGAGATTCAAGCACTCTCACTACAACAATCTCTGGGTCCTAATGCCCTACGCTTGCACCTCCCTGGCATAAAGGACCATGAAGAAGTTGAAAAGAAGCCCTGAACTGAGACGGGAACTTCCAATTCCTAAGTGCAATGAAGTCAATTTATGCTCCGGGTTCAGCACCAGGAAGAAGGGATTTAGAAAGATATCTTTTTTACTATTTTGCCAGGTGCACTTCTAACCCCCCCCATGCCTACCCTTCAGTTATTCACTCAACATTTCAAAACTTATCATTTCCTTCAATCAAACCATCAGTCTTCATGACGTCATTGGTGTCTGAAAGTGCTAACACTCAAGGACAAATTCCAGTATTTTGGTGGCTGGGGCAGGAGGATGGTGAGTTCTCGACCAGCCTGGGCTACATAGATAGTTCAAGGCCACCCTGAATTACTTACCAAAAACCCCTCTGAAAAATAATCCTCCCAAAAAAGAAAAGAGAAAACTTATAAAACCATTAAGTTCTCAGGATTCACAGCAATGGAAGGATTTATCTTCTACTTCCTCAATAATCATGTAATAATATGTAAAAGCCTTCACATTTGGGGCTGGAGACCAAACTCAGTTTGTGAAGAACTTGCTAAATGATTCCCCCCCCATTTTAAATTTTGATTCTGTTTCTCAAATATTTGTCTTTCAATAGGCCCCACTGGCAGGGGCCTTACTGACCCACTCACTGGCCCATCCTACCAGAGCATCCCTACCACACATACTTTTGATCGCTCTTTTCCCTTTTCCTTACTAGTCATTATGTTATTGTCCTTACTTTTCATTGAATAACCTTTGCATCGATGTCACCTCCTCCATCAAGCCTCTCTGATACATGCCCAGGTAGATAAGCCTTTTTCCTCCTTTGATGTTCTATTGCAAAAACCAATGCTTAGCAATTCTCTAGTAGGGGCAAGAAACTGCTGTTGTATTGATTCCCTTAACACACACACACACAAACACTGTGAGCTAGGTACGAACCCTCATTTATAGATGGGAACATTGGTGGGATTCAAATGACTAGACAATTATATCTAGAGGCCAGGTTCATTGATGTGTCTCTTTGTTAGGCAGAGGGTAATGGGGCAAGCTGGGTGATGACACCCCAGGTCTGACCGGAGCTCACCCCAGAGAAAAAACCAGGACTCCATTGGCAGTGCTCAAGCGGGGAGGTGAAAATCTTGAATCTTGTTGTAGTTTTCTTTCTGTTGCTATTATAAACATTGTGATCAAAAGCAACTTGGGGAGGACAAGGGTTATACTTCCTGGCCTATCATTGAGAGAAGCCAGGGCAGGAACTAAGGCAGGAGCCTTAACCCAGGAACTGAGCAAAGACCCTGGAGGAATGCTGCTTACTGGCTGCCTTCTCTGGCTGACTCAGCTCTTTGTACAACCCAGATCACCTACTCAGGGATGACATTGCCCACAGTGGGCTGGGTCCTCCTCTATCAATTGGCACTCAAGAAAGTGCTTTACATACATAACCACAGGACAATCTGACAGGGGCAATACTTTTACCAAGGTTCCTTCTTCCCAGATGTGTCAAGTTGACATCCAAGATTAGCCTCCACAAATCTATCAGAGGCCTCTTTCCATCTTAGTCATGGATCCTTAATACTCCTCCTAACCAGTCCAAGCTGAACTAAGTGGTTCCTGTCTCTAACCCCAACACTCACTTGGAAACCTAAGATAAGAGGATTGCTATGAGTTCAAAGTCATACTAAGCTACATAGTACATTTCAGACCTTTGGGGGCTATAGTACAAGACTGCCTCAAAAGCATACAAAAGTATTTAAAGGAGGAGGAGGAAGAAGAAAGAAAAGGGGGAAAGTAAGTAGTACAGGACCAGGACAAATTTCCTTCAAGGAGCTTATCCTTCCAATGTCATCTCAGACATTCCTTCCATCGACGGGTGTAATAATAAGGATTCCCTTACTCTATTATGACAAAATACCCGAGGAAAGCAGCTTAAGAGTTTATTTCGCTCATAGTTTTATGGCACAGTCCATCACGGTGGTGAAGGTATTGGGCAGGACTATTAAGTTACTAGTCACATCGTGTTTACAGTCAGGAAGCAGAAATTGATGATGCTTGGCTTGCTTGTTCCAGCCCCCACCTCACCCCCATTGAATAGTGTTTCACTTATTTCTGTGGTGATATTTTGTTTATACTCTAACAAATAAAGCTTGTCTGGAGATCAGAGGGTGGAGCTGGCCACTAGTTAACCACAGAGGTCTGGAAGTCTGTACAGACAGACAGGAAGTGATAAGGTGGGGTGGAGACAGGAGTTCAGCCTTTTTTTTTTTTTTTTAGCTTGCTCCTTTGTCTCTCTGATCTTTCAGCATTTACCCTGATATCTAGCTCTGGGTTTTTATTTTTAAGACCTATTAGAACTCGTGCTACATATTTCGGTTGTGTCTTCCTTCCTCAGTTAAACCTTTCTAGGGGGTGGGGAGATAGATAGCTCAATGCATAAAGTGATTCCTGTACATGCATGAAGATCTAAGTTCAGTTCCAGGCACCCATACAAAAGCCAAGCATGACAGCACACTTTTAACACCATCATAGTGTGAGGAGCACAGGAGAATGATGGGATAAGGAAATCCTGGATAACTGGAGGTAGATCCTCAGGACTGGCTATCTGTCTGAATAAACAAAATGGTGAGTTCCAGATTCAATAGAGACCCTATTTCAACATGTAAGTTGGAATAGCAGTTGAGAAAGATATTCTGACATCATCCTCTAGCCTTCACATACATCCACTCAGGCACATATACAACACACACACACACACACACACACACACACACACACACTCACACATACCCACACCCACACACACACCTCAGAAAAAGAAAAACACTGGCAACACCCCTATAGACACACCCAGAGGTATGTTTCAATGGTGATTCTAAATCCAATCAAGAAGGTTAGCCATCACACCAGGTACTCTGAGCCTGAGCCCTCTGAAATGTTGTGGACCTGGTGATCCATCCTGATTTCCATCATTTATATACTAAATGTGTAATCATAATCAATTCCATTGAGGAAAATTGGGAACCTTGCTCTTGGTGACTTCCTTTGGTGACTAAAAGACAAGGAACACCATCTAAAATAATCTGAAGCATGTTGTCTAAGAAATCTCTCCATTATAAGCCAGTTTTAATCTTCCCATTACTAGGCCAAACTGGAAGAGAAGTTCTTCAGATCAGCTTTACATGTGTGATGTGGCAGTGACAAGCATTCTCTCCCACATCTTCCTGAAGACAGCATAGTGGTGTGCTGAGTCCTGAATGCTGGATACTGCCACAAGCCAATTCTATCATGGTGTCTTGAGCACCAGAGGTTGCTTGAGTGGAGTTAGAACTCCAATGGCATTGCGTTCTCCAGGCTGTCCACACAGGACAGATTCTCACCCTGCTGCTGACATTCTGGGGATGTATATTTCTTTTTTTCCAGGCAGTTCTGTGTTCAGAAAAATGAGCAATGTGTTCATTGTTGCCACTGAATTGGAAACTAACTCTATGAAAGGACCTTGAAGATGCCAGTGGTTATCCTGAGTTTGGCCGCTAGGCCTGGGTTTGTTCCTGCAGTAGGACCTCTTCTCAACACAAATTCAGATCACAAACACAAGATACCATTATGAGTCCAAGGTTTCTCTGTATAACAGCTCTAGCTGTCCTGAAATTCCCTTTGTAGATTAGTCTGGCCTTCAAATGAATCTTTTTTTGTTCCATCCCCTGGAAAAGTTTGGGAGAGAGGAGTCATGGAGCTATCCCCCACTGATTAAAATCTTGTTGTGACTTAGGCACTGTGGGAATACATGGAAAGTGAGATGCCAATCCTGGTAATAGTGACCTTATTGTTATATAGCAGATAGCAGAATCTGTTTATTTTCAAACACATAATAAATGACTGGAAGGAATGAACCAAAGTATGAAATGTTAATTGTAATTTGTTCTTCAAACATTCTACATTGAACATGTCAGTAAAATGAGCAGTCATGTTTCATAGTTAAGTGACTGATTATATATAATGTATTGTATATAGTGTATTTCCATTTCAAATGACATGATAATGGAAATAATACATAATTGAAATATATATATATATAATGTTAAAGGATATAAGAGAAAACAACTCAGGTTTCCACTATGAAAATATATTATTTATGTTTCTAGTGGTCAGCATCCTCATTGACCTTTTCCTTAATGCCTCTTTAAGAAAAAGGCACATGTAAATTATTACTTCTTTTCTGAATTTGACATGTTAGTATGTTTTATACTGAGGTTTATTATCTTGTTAGCATTTTTGTCACTATATTCCTGAGTTAAGGCAAAAGCTCTAACTTCTTGGAATCCAGCCTCAATCAGCTCTTCAGAAAGTCAATCAAAGTACTGAGTGGTAAGCGGCAAAGGCTGGCAAGGAGTTTGATCATCAGTATGATTGCACTGGTAATAATACAATTCTGATGATCTAAAATCTGTCTTCTGTGTTTTTGTTTGTTTGTTTGTTTGTTTTGAGACAAAGTCTTGCTGTGTAGCCAAGGCTGGCATTGAACTTGTGAACCTCTTGCCTACAAATGCTAGGATTATAGCTTCAAAGTGCTTATAACAATGTTAGTGTTTTACAGAAAAAAGAAACAGGGCGAGAATTGAGGGTTGCTATGTATGTCACTTACTTTTCTATCGAGGTGATAAAACACCATTAACAAGGTAATTTATAAAAGTGTTTAATTAGACTTTCAATTTCAGAGGGTTAGAGCCTTTGATGACCAAGCAAAGGCATAGCAGCAGGAACCGAGAGCTGAAACACTGAGCAAGCAGGAGGAAGAAACAGGTGCACAGGGAGTAGTCTTTGAACACCTCCTCTAACAAGGCCACACTTCCTAATTTTTCTCAAACAGTTCCATCAACTGGG